ATGTTGGCTTCTTGATAGTTTCATAATAAAATGCCACAATCTTTTTACACATTTTGGCGTGGTAATTTGGTTAAATAAACACAATCTTTCACTTGTAATTAATTTTCCTTCGAATGAATGTTTGTAGTATTTCATGTCCTTTCTTTTCCAAGCAAATGTTTCTTAAGTAAATATTTGCTAATACAAAGTTAATCAAACGATGTTAACAGTAACTTGTTTCTTGTTTCTCTCACATATCTTATTCGGCAGCACAAAAGGAATGGTTGGTTGGCCTTTCGCTTTAATCTTATACTTATATATGTTTGGTGCCTTGGAATAGATTGGATAGTGTGACATTTCGCGGACCAGCCTGCTCCACCCAATACCAATTAAAGCCTTGGTTTCACATGTTTGGTTGTTAAAGTCAGGATGGTTCCAATTTGCATCCCTATTTATTTCTTGACATAATTTGTGTTCTGTATGTATATGAATACAAGTACAAATCCACCAAAAAGTTAGAAAGACAAAGAAAGCTGCTCACACGAAAAGGTTGACAAGATTCCTACCCATTGCTTCACTCAATTAATCTCTACGACTACTTAGTTAACACCTGCATTGTCTTTTGCATAAAGTTGATCAGAACCAACCCCCAACCTCTCATTTGTTTGATTTTCTCTTGATATGATCTACTTGTTTACAATTTGTCTCATGACAGATCACACTTTGAACCACATTACAGCAACATAAGATTCAAGGCTGACATGTTTGAAAATTTGTCACTGAAGACTAGTTATTAGAAGTCTTCTTTTTGTAAAGTGAAACTGTAATGCTGCTTCTAGGGTTAATTATGGGCTGCAAATGAAGCTTCAAGCCATAACCATTGACAGCTAAAAGAGCTCAATTTGAAGCTCTGTTTCAATTTGGTGGCAAACACACAGGTGCAACAAATATAGGAATAATCAAACATTCGCAAAACACCTCAAAAATTTGCAGTTCTTCTATTCACTTCTTGGTCTATTGCAAACACATGTTGCTTTAACAAAGTCTAAAATTGGCATCGGTTGGATTTCAAAATAAGTAGCTGTAGCAAGGTATGCACATGATAAACCGATGTATATTTTAAACCAGACGGTTGAAAAAATGGTAAGGTAAATGAGCACGACAGTTAAAACAACTACCAACATAAAATTTACCAAGCACTTCAATGTGGACAGTTCCTCTTCGCCTCCTCCTCCTCCTCCTTCACTAGGGAAATGGCCTTGAGTATTGAAATCAGAGAGTAAGTTGTCCTTGAGCTGGAATGTGTCCGTTAACCAAGAAGCTGCATCCGCGATAGACTCTGGGATGTCTTCGATAGGGATACGGCGAACATGAATGTGAACTTCTGAAGGATCCACGCCAAACGCATTGTCCATAAATGAAGGGCATTGATTCTTGTATGCGATTGTCAAGTCATAAACTGCACCACAATTTGGAATATGAATGCACATATAAATATAACAGGAATGGAATGTTAAGACAAGATAAATTGGAGAGAGAGAGAGAGAGAGAGAGAAAATGGGGTTTCAAACACATAATTTCCAGAATACCAATAAGAGAGTGGAAGTCTGGTGTAAATAACCTGCATCCAAAGAACTTCTTAGAGCTTCCAAGCAAGCACAAAAACCTTTCGTTCTTGGAAGCAGGACATGTGACAGTACAGGAAGTCCAGTTTCAGCAGCAAATATCTGACTCTTTTTGCATTTTTCTTCACTGTATACAAAACAAGGGGGTAAAAAACAAAACAACTAAATATCTACATACATTAATCTCTTAAAATGAATAACGAAGAATATTTTGAATGCACTATAAAAATTTGCAAGTTGGAAATATGCCTTATGACAGTATGAGATGAAACCAATGTTAGAAAGGTGACTGGTGAATATAGAAATGGGGTCCAAAGGTAACTCAGCGCAGAGAAGTGCATCAAAATTAGGCAATACTGTGGGTTTCAGAGAATCGGATTCTAAAAAAATCTCATTGCAGAGCATAAACGTGAGAAAGGATTCTCAAACTCATTGTCAAGTGTCAAAACTGTGAAACTAACAGTCTAAGTTCAAACAATATGGATTTTCTTTTGCTGAAGTTAGAAATAGAAGCACATGGAGGTCAAATAATCTTGAATATGATAAATTCAATATAATAATCTGAAAATACATGCACATAGATTGATAAGAAAGGCAGGGTGGGGGTAATAAGCAGTACTTATAATCAGTTCCTTCAGGAAAAATGGCGAGCCACAGAGGGTCTGCAGGATCAGCAAAGGACGAAAGCAATTTGCGCATAACCGGTTCATCAACTTCCCACTTCCTCTTCAAAGGGATAAACTCCAAAACATGAAAGCCCCAACCGAAGACAGGCAGCTTCATGAGGCTGCTCTTGAGGACATATTTGATGTGGCCGAGGGACCCTTTTCGCAATGCAAGATCCCACAAGTACATCCAATCAACCTCAGTTTTATGATTGGCAATGAGCAGAGTGCGTTCTTTCGGGGGCACGGTGTCACCAGTAAAAACCACTTTGGTCCCATTGATCTTTTCAAATAGGAAGGGCCACAAGGCCAGCCAAATACCAAAGAGGAGGGATGTTGCTTTTCTGCTGCAATGTATGCTCAAAAGGCGCAAAATTACAGCAATGATAGGCGCAAAGCACACAAGAATCATGAAAGCAGTAGAAAGAAACACTACTAAACATATCACACCCCTCACAACTCTAAGTGGCGTTAAGGGCCTATGCTTCAGTTTACTATCAGGTTTCAAGGGACTGCAAATATCCATCTCGTTCCAGGAAAAACCTCCCTCAATGCAGCTGCAATATTACCAAAATATGTCTTTAAGAAACAGAAATTACTTCCCATTTCCCTTAAATAAACATGAACAAAGAAACACAATAATAAACATGTACATGAACGAATAATGAGATATTCTAAACTAGTCGTGCAGAGGTTTCGAACTCGGGTGAAATGGGGAGGTTACACTGCTTCCGCCAATTGGCCTAACCCCACATTTGCACATGAACGAATTATGATTGACGTGATCAAGAATGTTGGTTTTCCTTTTGAGACATCGATGCCATTCTGGTTATCCAGGGAGGTAGATCAGATGCCTCCCTGAGATTTTGATGTTTCAATTTCAATCATATAATCACGAAGTAAAAAAAACGACAAACGTAAAGACGATTTCCAGAGACGCAATTGCAACAAGAACGACAACAACCATAACCTTAAATCTGCAGACAACAAAACAATGTTGTTACCTCATGCGAACGTAGATTTAGAGAGAAATTTTTGCTCCGAGAACGAAGAGTACGTTTGTGTTGTTGTTGTTGGGTAGAAGGAAATAAAAGATCAGCGTTTCGAATAAATGCCAAAAATAATATTAATAAGGGATTTATATACAAGAGAGAGATTGGTGGCTTCATGTACACAAAAAAATGATTGCCAAAAATAATAAAAAGCCATTTATAAATATTGGATTGCATTCCTTCATATATAGCCAATGCAAAAATTATTATAAATAGGCAACGCTGAGCAAAAGTGCGAATATGGAAGTATTATCACACGGCAAACAAGTGCAGCACAGACATATTATTCATTCATTCACCATTTGTTTTTGTTTAAAGTTTAAACCAGAGAACGAGTCAAACCTAATAAAAGCTAGCTGTTGTTGCCAAAACAAAAAAAGCACTCTTAAGATTTGTTGGATATAATTAGATTGGGTTACACCTCTAATCATTATATTATTAAAACTAATAAGAATTAAATAGATAAATAAACCAATCTTTGTTTGCACTACTTCTACTCCAATTCTGGAGTGTTGATGTTGGTGAACGAAGAAGTGTGACGGAAGATTGCCCCCGTAAGTGGGCCGCATCGCTGAGTTGAGCAGCCTGGTGGATAAAATTGTAAAGTTGAAGCCCATCGTGGCCTAAACTACACTTGAAAGTGGAACTATGTAATTTTTTTTAATCCCTATGTGTTAGTAAACACATCAGAAATCAGCACATAGTGGAAAAATGAGTCAAACTCTCACATCCCCCAAAGTGCATTCGGGTTCAATTCACGTAGGATACAATTTTGGGGCAACCTAATATAATACTCTTCTCTCTCCCTCCCTAACGAATGACAAAACACATCGGAAATCAGGAATTGAAATCATTCAATACCTATTCCTTATAAGTAAACATGCTAAATTTATACAAATACATGGCACTTAAAATGGGAAAAATATAATCATGGCAATGAAGGAGAACATCGAGTAGCCAATTGGAGGCGATTAATGCATGACGATGTTGCTGAAGATTGATAGAGGTAATCAAGGTACGAGTTAACGAGATCTCCAATACATTTGGCCAAAAGTTTGGTGGATTAATGTAAGCGCGAGGAGTTGTGTATCTGGGGTTTTTGTATTCTACCATGCATCTGGGTTTCTTTTCTCATCCTCTTTGTGTTGGGCCTTTATTATTGAAGTTGGTGGACCTAGAACGCTTTTGTTTTGGGATAGGTGTGTTTCTGTTTGTCCTCCTTTTTTTGGCCCCAATTAGTTCACCAAAATTGTGCCTGATAACATTATTTTTGCATCCTTTCCTTTTCTCTTAACGGGATGTCACGTTTTGGTTTACCATATTAATTTTGATATTTTACGCAATCAATGAGCAAAAATAAAGAGACCAGAATATCATATCAGTGACGGCATGTCGTCGGTCATTGGTCAATCCGAAACTTAACAATAGAACTTTTCTTGCAGAATGGACAAGGTATCAAATTCGTATAATTCTAAGTTTTCTTCTCAAGCGGCACCTTCCTCATTTCATTTGATTGACTATTCAAATGGAAGTTTCAAGAATCCAAGAATAGAGTCTTCTTCTTTGAACATTTACCTTTATTGAGTGAAAAAGATATATATAATATATATATATACATTTACATATATATCATATTCACAATGAATCTCATTTCCACCTAATATATTTTGTTTGATAAAATACAAACAAAATGTAAAGAAAATCTCAAAGGCACAAATTAACAACGTTTTTCCTTAACAATGACAACCTCACGTTCATGCTTAGGGTTTGACTCCGAACCAGAACCCAAATGCGTGCCCAAACTCTCCACTTTACCCACATTTGAATTTGTCAAATACATCTTCACGTAGAACTTCAAGAAGAGCAAAAGAATGGCGCCGTTGAGCACCGAATTGCACACCCAAGCTCCCATCCCATTGCACCCGCCTTTCAAAATGTGCAGCGAAAGCACCCCAACATGGCAAACCAAGTTGCAGCCGAGCAACACCACCTGGCAATTCACCACGAACGGGAAACAGGCGCCGGGTAACCCGATTGCGGTCCAGAACCGGTACCCGTAGACCACTGAGTAAAGCAGAGTGGTGGAGAGTATGGCCAGGACCTGAAACGACTGAGAGAACTCGAGCCAGAGGAACGACATGAAGATGAGGATCGACTGGTTGAAGAGGTGGAAGAAGGTCAGCCTACGGCGGCGGAGGACGGTGAAGAACGTGCGGAACAGGTGGAGGAACCGAGAGAGGTAGAAGACGTAGGACCAGAAGAAGACGCGACCCGAAGGGCGGGTCCCGAGCGGGAAGCAGAGGAACCACTGGAATGGGGTGGTCTTGGTGCGCCGCCATAACCAGCGGGTGTCGCGAATCTCGGCAGCGGCGGAGACCAGGATTCCCGCGAAGATCACGGCAGAGATTAGGGCCATGCCGAGGCTATGGACGGCTGGAATTATGCCGAGTGGGACGGGGCGGCGGCGGCGGAAGACGGTGAGGATGAGGTGGAGGGTGGTGGCGACGGCGATGTAGGTGGGGATGGCGGTGAAGAGGAAGGACCACGTGGAGCCCCATGATTGGGTGGTGCTCCATCGGAAGTTTACGATTGTTGGATGCTCCGATAACCAGTACTTGATGCTCTGCGTCATGGGTTGCTTCTCAGGTGTTCGATGAAATGCGTGAATGAATATAGAACTGGAGATGATGTTGAACAAAAATCTGGAGTCTAAGAGATGTTTTATGAATGCGGGCGGATGGCGTTGGAAATAAAAGGCAATTTGATAGAGATGGGATTTTGCTGAACGAATTGATTTGAGAGGTCAGCGGATTATTATAAAAGGAGAGATAAAAAATGGTGTTGACTGCGGAAGTTTCTTTCTTCGAGTGCTTTTGTTTTTTGTTCTGTTTTTATGCCAACCATTATTATCAACGCAACGCACCGCCAATAATTAAATGAGTTTGGTGTCTTGGTCCCAAAGGCATTTTTGTTATTTTTCATTTCTCTAGAGAAGGATTTGGGACCCCTGCAAGAATAAATCTGGACCCATTAAAGCGTGTCTCCTGTGGAGCATGAGTTACATGAGTATTTTGAAACTTTCTGAGCTGAAAAATATGGTTGTTTGGACTTTAGAAATGCGCCTTTTTTTTTAATTTAAACAAATGAAATATGAATCATGAGGACAATAAAATTCCATTTGCGACAGAAGATATTTTGAACATAAATTTGATGAAAGTAATTGTGTATAGATATTTATGAAAAAAGTTAGGCACAAAACCACATGTGGCCAATTTCAAACCACATTTGTGCATCGCCCACTAGACTGTTTACTCCAGATAATAAGATCCACTAGAAGCCCACCATTGTTATGGTGGTTGAAATCGTGAGCTGTCCACCCGATTTTCATTTTGAGTGGAGAAGGAGGAGAACCATGGAGCCTGTGAAGCGCAGGGTTGTGGTCAAAATGTCAAATCAATACCGCTGTCTTGGAAATATGAAAGCAGTCCTTAAGCCAAGGTTCTTCATTTTTCTTATTTTTGGGAAGACTTTTTCTATTGAAATTGACGATAACATATTAAATTCACACATATTTTATGAATGCTAGAACTCCAACTCGTGACATTTCTTGGACAAAGAAACAATTACTCTAAACCACTACACTAATAGATCCTTTTACTTTTCTTTTTCTTCTTTTACATGGCAGATTTGTTACATTAAATTGAACTTCTAGAAAACAACAAAAATTGAGAAAGGAAGGTATTCGAATTTAGTATGTCTTTAAACATTAAAAAGAGAAGTAACGTTCAACTACAAGTTAGTTGATAAGTTTACTATGAACTTTAAATCTTGACATGATGAAACCAAAATTTTTTCACATTACTAACAATAGTTAACAAATAAAGTCAAATTCAAATAATATGTTTCTCTTGCATATGAGTGGTTCGTGCAAAGTCATTTGAAACCATGATGTATATATATATATATTAGAAATGATATTTTGACTACTCTAATGTACGGGAAGGGAGATCGAATTCGGATGTAAGGGGTCCAGCACAATACATTGGACAACTAACCAAATCCATATGTGAGATAACCAAATTTGTTTTAGGGTCCAAAACACCATGACTATTTCACCTTTGTTTTTAAAACCATGAGTTATTCAAATATGATAGGCCTAGTCAGGACCAAATGCCCCTGAAACGTAAGAAAAAGTTCATAGTCATCAAGGACAATGCAAACCAAGTCCAGAGAAAGCCCACGGTCATCAAACCTTATGCAACCCACTGGCCCAGAACAAGTCATTTTAACATCGTTGATTTATGAATCCATAATCTATCCGACGGCTAGAAATGGAGGAGTCACAATCTACCATTAGAAAGTTGCCAGCTGGGCAAGGAAAACAATCTCCTGTCCGGAGATCTCCAAACGCGTCAATACCGCATCTCCCACCAAACACAAAGTTCTTTGCTCTTGCTTCCCGTCAACGGATTTCTCTCGCCAATACTCGTATTGAGTTGGCTTCGATTCGTCTACTTCTTCTATGTGAAGGTCAGTGGTAATCTCTGCCCTAAGTTTTGTTCATATATTTGATCGGAATATTGAATTGATTTCTTTTTCATTTGTCTCTGCATTTTTTTTGGATTGTAATTAGCAGATTCTGAGAATCGATCGAGAAAGTTTCAAATTCATGTTAAAAACTATGCCTTTGGCTTCTCGTATTAAGATTTTAAGAGATCCAGGGGGTATTGAATCGTTATGTATGAAACATGAAATGTTGAGGCTAAATCTTTTACGTTCATGATCAAGAAGAAGGGCCAAAGAATTATGTTTTATAGAAATTTGTTATGAATTAGAAATTATTCATGCATTTTTTTACAATTTTGGTTGGGTTTTAAATCGTTGTTGTGCTTTGGCTGGAATTATGAATAGACTTCATCTTCTAATTGAAAAAAAAATTCGTGCAAACCCAGTGTAATTGGGGCTTTCCTGTATATAACGATGCTTATGAGTTGTGTTTAAGGTAATTGAGATGTTGCAGTGGCTGGTTTTGATTTAATGTATGGACTAATTTATTTAGGCTCTTCCAGGGATGGCAAGTGGGTTCGGGGAATCAACGAGCAGGCCATCCCAAGGGCCTTCTTTCTCCAGCAGCAACAATAACAACAGTGATGCTGGTAATTTTGAATGCAATATCTGCTTCGACTTGGCCCAAGACCCCATTGTCACCCTATGTGGCCATCTCTTCTGCTGGCCTTGCCTTTACAAATGGCTCCACATTCACTCCCACTCTCAGGAATGCCCTGTTTGCAAAGCCCTCATAAAGGAGGAGAATTTGGTGCCCTTATATGGTAGGGGAAAGACATCAACTGACCCAAGATCGAAGGCAATACCTGGTATTAATATCCCAAACCGTCCAGCAGGACAAAGACCTGAAACAGCTCCTCCACCAGAACCAAACCATTTTCCCCCACGTGGGTTTGGATTCATGGGAGGCTTGGGGGGTTTGGGAGGTTTTGCACCCATTGCCACCACAAGGTTTGGGAATTTCACCTTTTCCGCGGCTTTTGGTGGCCTTATCCCATCTCTCTTAAATTTTCAGCTACATGGGTTTCCTGATGCTGCAATGTATGGTGCAACTGCTGGATTTCCTCATGGGTTCTCAAATTCATTTCATGGCGGCCATCCACATAGATACCATCTTCACAGGGCTACAGGTCAACGACAACAAGATTATTTCCTGAAGAGGTTGTTTTTATTTGTTGTTATTTGTGCACTTGTGGCTCTTATGTGGCAATAGATTGAATATGCTATCAGTTTCAATTTGCTAAGTTGCTAACTAATATTTAGGGCGTGGTCAACCTCGTGGTAAAGTGTTCATATTTTACTATTACAAGTCATGTTGTAGAGTTTTTTACGTGTCACTGTCATCAGAATGGCAATTGTGGTTTACTTGACATGATAGTTATTGTTTGTTTGACATGATAATTGTGGTTTGCTGGATTATTAGCGAACTTCACATGCAATGTATGACATTACTTTGTATTCTTGAATGGTATGAAGTTCTCCTAAATCTCATGATACTTTTATCTCCTGAATCCGATGTATACTGTCCATACCCAAATCTCCTGCATAAGGATGACTGCGATGAGTCCTGTTTTCAAATCTTAAAGTTGTGTTTTCAGTTAAGCAATGGCCTGCATGAGTGGTAGATCTGATTGTCATGGAATGCGTACCATTTTTGACATGTTTTTTTTATAAGTTCACACAAGTATACAAGAATACAAAGCAATTATTATTTTGTGGTCAGAAGAATACAAAGCAGTTAGATATGCATCAATCTTGTCTAAAGATGCATTGTTTATTTGCAACATAAGTGTTCAAACGGTTTTTCTGTCGAGCTTTTTGTTTGTCTTCTGATTGATAATGGATACGTACTGCCTGCCTGTGGCCCCTTTTTATAGCTCTTGATTTGCTTCCTTCAATTATTTATCGACATTACTTGTCGCCATTGAGCTATATGTGTGAGCATGAGGATTGAATTGATCACTTGTCGTCGGGCTAAAAAAACTTCTCGATGAGCATGAGCAAGCTCTAGTAATTTATATAATGGATACGTACTGCCTGCCTGTGGCCCCTTTTTATAGCTCTTGATTTGCTTCCTTCAATTATTTATCGACATTACTTGTCGCCATTGAGCTATATGTGTGAGCATGAGGATTGAATTGATCACTTGTCGTCGGGCTAAAAAAACTTCTCGATGAGCATGAGCAAGCTCTTGTAATTTATCTTAGGCCATCTCTAATCCTCCTCTAAACAGTTTCCCAAGTTCAAATTGGTTGTTTGGGGCTCCTCTCCTCAAGTTTGATTCATCACTGAAATACTCTTGTCAAAATTTGGCTTTTACCTCTACCATATGCTTTTGTTAGAAAAGAGAAAAAGGAAAGAGTTATGCATTAAGTATTTAGATTTATTTCCATGATCCATCCAAACTTGCCTCTAAAATAAACGATTTTTTATACTTTAATGTGATAAGAGGCTGGTTGGGCATATATACTTGCAGTGTGACAGAATGCTATTGAAAAACGCCAATACAACACCACCTCAAAGGAGAGGCAAAAGTGGCACTGGCTTGGCCTAATTTGCCTCAACGAATTGACTTGTAAATTGTCTTCTCTTCTCTTCTTCACAGCAAGTTAGGCACACACAGCTAATAAATAAAAATAAACTAAACTAGTTTGCATAGAGCTTCTCTTTTAAATAAAAAAAGTAGTGTCGAGTTCATGAGGTTGTATAGGTTAGGTTTCCAAAAAGTAGATAAAATTATTAGGAGGCGTGAAAGTCACCTCTCAATATTAAAAGGTTTGACTTTGAATCTTTGAACGTACCCACCACCATGACCATGGAGGGTGTTCTCCTCTCCTGCACGCGAAACACGACTGTAATCTACTGTATACTACTACTACTACTACTAGGGTATGTATATGCATCAGCCACCGACAAATACAAATTGTATGCACTTTGAAGTTCGTGCACTTTGATGATCCATCATCCATGGATGAGGAGGAGAGGAGATGACTTTCGAGCATGTACTATTATATTTAAAACAAATTAACACTAATAATTATTATTATTATTTTATACTAATCAAGCGCAAATTTCATAAGGATTCGAAATTGTAAAATTAATTGATGCAATAATTATATAGTTGGTTAATTAATTCTGTGCATGCAATATTATGCAAATCCCAATCCCTAGTGCCTATATCTTTAGATAGAGGAGAAGCATTAGCATGTGCATGGTGAAGTTCATTTAAGCTTCCTTTTATGACGATCATGACCCACGCACGTTTTGGGTTGTCGGTGACTGTGTGACCACTCAAACTGTTTAATGTATACATTTATAATCAAAATATCTCAACCTGCCTATAATTTCATCTCTGTTCATTCCGTGCTCCATTGTTTTTAGCGCAACTTAACTATTTTCATGCGTTGTTCTTGAAAATGGAGATCATTGAGAAAGATGAAGAAAACCTTCGTGATATGAAATTGAAGAACATGGATGAGAGTTGTTTATGACATCATCATTTATGGTTAATCTTAAATAATTTCCTCCAAATACCAAAACATAAGAATCATGATAACGATGCTTTGGATATTGACTTTTGGGTATATTGGTAATGATGACATCGTGTGACGGTGATGTTCACCATAGGAAATAAATTGTTTAATTCTTTTGGGTTTTGTTGCTTTTATTCTTATTTGAGTAATAAAATCAGATGAAGTGTACCAAGCGTGTTCTAACGAATCTGGAGAACGAATTTTGAACGTTTCTTCCTAATTTCTGCTCACAAATGCCTTACTAATTCTGATCTAACCTGCAAAATGAGGGGAACATTTGTTTAACATGATTTAGCTGCGAAGAAGAATTAAAAGAAGAAGGAAAATCAATTATTGAGTATCTGTTAAGGAAAGTCCGAGTAGAAATTTACTTAATGACACGTATAATCCACAAAATTAAACACTAATAATATGTGTTGCTAACGATGGTCCAACAATTAAGTAGGTTTATAATTGGAAGGGGAAAGTTGGCATCTACGACCACATCACATAATTAATTAGTTTAATACAATTGAGCTTTGCCTGACTCTTTTAGCACATGATATGATTGTGTTTGTGACATAAAATATTTTATCATCGTCTCCTCTCCTCTGGTCTGGAATGGAGTATTTTAGGAGAAAACTTGGTAACCAAGTATGAACTTGTCTTTGTTCGTTTCCTTTGAATTTTTATGTGCCTCTCTCTGTCTCTCTCTCATTTGGTTTGCTCAAAAATAGTTTTCCCGACTGCGATACATCAACGCTTTGAGACAAAGAGAGATATCGTCCTATTATTATTGTATAGACCATCAAATAAAAGTGAGAAAAATGAGAAAAATATTTTTGATGAGAAAGATTAATTGTTACGAATCCATGAGGAAGCATCCACGACCATGCGATTTGACAGACAGAAAGCTTCAATTCAAGACGTGTACAAAAGCTGTGGGGCCCCAATGAAGAAAAACAAAGGGTGAGAAATGATCCGATCTATTCAATTCAATCATTCCCAGCCTTTGCATCTCTCTACGCCGCCCTTTTACTTTTTCTTATGTGCATAATCATATATGAGTAATGATTTATTTACATTCCTGATGATAATTTATTTTCTTATTATTCTTTGTTTGTCAAGACTCAAGACATATGTTGGATAATCATATCTTACGACTCAATTTGTTTATGGGCCAAATAAGTCAGACATTTTCTAGGTCCTACTTACTTATATTACGAGTTAGTTTTTGGTGAACTGTCCGTAGTCAGTCAATAATAGTATAATAATAAATAAATAAATAAATAAAAAGAGGCAATCAGTCTTTATAAAATCTCTAAAAAGCTACTAAATCAATTCTAATTCTAATTTGGTATGAACAAAGAATAACCAACTTGGCAATTTCAAAATAGAAAATTTACCTACTCGTACGAATTTGAATCCACTTACCTACTACTAATGTAATTCTTGCTATGAATCCATAACAAACTAGAGAAGAATATCGGCTAACGAAAAAAGGCATTGATTTGCAAATTAGTAGTCTTAAGTTCGAACACCTTGGTAATATATATGTATGAGAAATCCCCTCCTTCTTATAGTTTATAATATTACTTGTGTTTTTTTAATAAATAAATAAAAAAGGGACATTGAACTAGAAAGAAAGAGATGCATTGCATCATCATTCATCATAGCTAATAGCTATAGCCTAAATGTGAACTCAACAACTCCCTCTTCCCATAATATTCTTCACTAAAGAGCCTAAGCCCCTCCTTTCCCATGCCCTGCACACGCTGCACCCCATCCAGCTATTCATTCCAATTCTCCTCTCTTTATTTATCTTTATATTTCAAAAAACAAAAAAAAAGTTACATAGAATACAAAAGCGTGTTGTTTAAAGTTTAAACCCCCTGCCCATATATAAAGCTCAAGCTATCCCAATATATACAGATCTCACTCTCTCCCTCACTTCCCTTTTCAAACTATGCCCATGCCTACCCCTCAGCCACCACCACTCCTCCCCCTCCTCCTCCTCTTTGCCTTCCTCATCCTCCTACTTCCCGCTCCCTCAGTCTCTGCTACCACCACAACCACATCCAATGCCACCACCACCACCACCACCCAACAATTTAGGGAGGCCCCTCAATTCTACAACTCCCCAGACTGCCCTTCCATCACCTCCCTCCACCACGACGACGTGGACCCCGACGAATCAGACGATGACCACATGATGATCTGCTCCTATCAAGCCGTCCATGTGGCAATGACACTAGACACCGCCTACATCCGCGGCTCCATGGCCGCCATCCTCTCCGTCCTCCAACACTCCTCCTGCCCCCAGAACGCCGTCTTCCACTTCGTTGCTTCAGCCACCGCCAACGCCTCCCTACTCCGCGATACAATCTCCTCCTCCTTCCCTTACCTGAAATTCCGAATCTACCCCTTCGACGACTCACACGTCTCCGGCCTCATCTCCATCTCCATCCGCTCCGCCCTAGACTGTCCCCTCAACTACGCCCGCAGCTACCTCGCCGACCTCCTCCCCCTCTGCGTACGACGCGTCGTCTACCTCGACTCCGACCTCATCCTAGTCGACGACATTGCTAAGCTCGCCGCCACCCCCCTCGGCCCCTCTTCCGTCCTCGCCGCCCCTGAGTACTGCAACGCCAACTTCACTACCTATTTTACCCCTGCCTTCTGGTCCAACCCCTCCCTCTCCCTCACCTTCGCCGACCGCAAGGCCTGCTACTTCAACACCGGCGTTATGGTCATCGACCTCGACCGCTGGAGAGGCGGCGACTACACCACGAAGATCGAGGAGTGGATGGAGTTGCAGAAGCGGATGAGAATCTACGAGCTCGGCTCGCTACCACCGTTTCTTCTGGTGTTCGCCGGGAACATAGCGCCGGTGGAGCATAGGTGGAACCAGCACGGGCTGGGAGGTGACAACTTCAGAGGGCTTTGCAGAGATCTGCATCCTGGTTCGGTGAGTTTGTTGCATTGGAGCGGGAAGGGGAAGCCATGGGCGAGGCTCGAGGCCAACAGGCCTTGCCCTCTGGATGCTCTCTGGGCTCCTTATGATCTCTTGGAAACGCCATTTGTTTTGGATTCATAAAAGTGTGGAACAAAACGGTGCGTTATGGGTTTGAGATGTGAAGCCGCCGCAGACTGTGAATTGTGCGTCGTTGTTGGATGATGAGCTCGCTCGCTCGTAATGATCAGTCTTCGCTTGGAAATTCGATTGAAGAAGGGCGGTGGAAGGAAACATAATTGAATTGTATGTAGATGATGATACAGGTACATCTGGAAAATATGTATAAAAAAAAAAGACAGATGATATATACTCAAAAAGTAATAAAAATGAAATAAGTCATGAATTTTGTCACCAATAAAAGTGTGATATATAATGCGTAATTGTATCATATTCGTCTGTAATTCATGCATAGCTAAAAAGATCTGTCTTAATTCACGATATTTTGATTTCAATTAGTAAATCAATATTGTTATTCAGTTTTTGTTCAATATGAGTCTCTTTACGCAGGTGGTGGAGAAAGTGATATGAAGTGAGATTTCAATTTTCCCGCTAAGCTAAACTGTATGTGATTATAACTATAAACGAGTATTTGATTTAATGACATTTATCTCCACTTAGTTAAACTTAAAAGAGGTTTGAGGTTCGACTCATACGAGACAAAGATGGTAGTGTTGTTGTAATCGATAGAATTACATTCAGTTAGTAAGTGAATCAGTCATAGTGAAGACTCGAGATTAATGTCTTATTATGGAATCATTTTCAAACTGCATTAAATGCAGTCTTTGAAGTTTTTTATTCAAAGGTTGTAAATATTGTCCATTTTTTTATTGGGTGGGTTTGCTTGGAATGAACGTATCAGCTGGAAAGACATTTGCCAGCTTATTTGTCTCTTTAACTAAGTAACAAAAAAAAGGTCGGTTGAGTACGTAGAAACGTACTCTAAGTCTATCTAGAGGCATTGAGTCAGTGTTAATCAAATCATCAGTGAACAAGTTTCTTTCTATTCTACCAACAAACTTATGCATTCCCATTCCCATTCCCATTCCCTTCACTTACGATTTGTACAAAGTTTGACTCAATAAAAAGGCCAACCTATGGCTATGAGGTTCTTCATTCCAAGCCTTCCCTTCCATTGGCAGAGGGAGAGAAAAAAAGTTGCACGGAACCAAAACTTACCCAACTGCTTGTCAGTATGCAGTGCAGGCAGCCACAAAAGGATGACATTTTTCTTTTGCTTACCCTACTAGGGCCTATCCCTGAACCTTTCAGCTACAATCGCAAGTTGGAGTTGAAGAAAGAAATGACTCCATTAATAATAGTGTCTTTGAATAAGAAAACAAATGAATAAATTACATATTCAAAAAAGTAATGAGAGATTCACTATTATACCCAATATAAGAGCCCAAATTATATATAAAAAAATCATATATAAAATGAACTTTAGAAACACACCCACAACCCATTTACAACATAACAAAAAGGCTTTCAACTTCTTTTAAATTACAAAATTGCCATTGATTTCTTAAAACAAACTCAATCCCAAAACCTCATAAAAAAATCCAAAACACTCAATAGGGTATCAAAGTAATTTAATAAGCAAAATTAAATTCAATATGGCCAACTATCAATTTTTGGGTTTTTTTTATAGTTTGTTTATATAAATTAAATGATGTAGGGTTTATCTATAGTATTAGTGCTATAAATTAGTATATAATTAAATATCTCAAAAGTAATTGTCATCCATCGTGGCTTCAACTATTTTATATATAGCTTCTAGTCGAATAGATCATTCAAATGCGAATGCTTGCCAACCTGTTAGTTTTCTATTTTAAATTCTACAAGTATATATTTATTCGAGACAAATGATATAGAGTGTCGGTGGAAGAGGCAAAACGACAAGGAAGAAGGTCCCAACCCGTAACTAAGAGTAAGACCAAGAAAATCAACACGCGGCAGCATGCTTTTATATTCAAGAGGTTAAAAATTTGTACGGCACTTTCCCATTCTAGCCGGATGAAGAAGAAGAAGAAGAAGATCGTACTCATGTGGGTCCCACGTATTTTTAGGTACTGTTTTACAATTAACGACTCCCCCTTCTCTGTCTCTGCTCCGGCCAAAGCACACAAATTTATATAAAACGGAGATAACATTGTTATTTTCGACCAATCACGTTATGTTAAGTGGTAAAATTATTACTTGTGGTATAGTATGATTGGCCGAGACGGTCCCGTTCTCTTGGACCCCTGTAGTACAAGGAGTTCGTGGTCACTCACCTTTGGATCTAATCTAAGGGTGTAGAAAAACTGATTTAAAAATTCATATAAATATTTATATTATTTTACTTACCCAAAATATGTTTTCTGAAAAAAGATAAAAAGAAAAAGAAGAAGAAGAACACGTTTCTTATTTGTTATGTCGCTCATGAACATCCATGATTGTTCACAGCCTCCTCCATCCAAAAGGGTGACCAACCGATCATTAAACATCCATGATTACTCAAAACTAGAGCCCAAATCGACAACACTTTCGCAGTCGAAGATCAACAAGTCTTGATCTTGGGCGGTCTCTGAGGGCGTATCTCTCGTACCCAAATCGATAAATTGATTGCTGAGTTCATCTTTTGATGATTGTCAGAAGAGAAAGCTGTAAAACCATGAGATTTATTCCCATTGATGAAAACAAAGGACAATCAACCTTGAACACTGCTGCACACCATTGCAATCAAACCCGGAAGAAAACTACAACAGTAGAAGAAAATCTATTGTGGTTTACTATCTGTAACCGAGGAAAATAGTATCTGAAAACTAAAGATTAATATGTATGAGAGTTTCGTGGATGTTCAATGACACGTTGGTCACACTTTTTGGAATCGGCGACGCTAGGTTGTGTAATTGAAGCCGCACCTACCTCCACTGCGATGGCAGAATCTGAGGAGTAGGGCAGCGGCTACAAGCTTCTTTAGATTAGATCCAAGGATGAGTGACCACAAACTCCTTATACCACAAGGGTCCAGGAGAACGGGACTGTTGTCCGAGAATAACAAACATTGTTATCCCCGTTACACACAAGTGTTTCTCCTGCCAAAGAGTTGTCGTGTCGATCCTCTACGCTTTCTATTTCTTTCCATTTGCCTGTCTGTTTTCTTTTGTTATACTAATTTGTTTTTAGTAAATAATTTTCTTTTAATACGCGTTTTCAATTATAGGAATAATTAAGGGATGTCCTCAACTAAATATTCTGTAGTAGGTGTTTACTAAATCTGCAACCAAATAATTCAGGCTGATTTCTTCCAACCAAAGATACAAGATGCGAGGCATGATTATAACTTAAAAAATAAAATACAAGGTAAGTATATATATATATATATATATATATATATATTCCTCTGTTTATTATTAATTAATCATATGTCCGCGATAGATAGATTAATCTACCGACCATGATCATCACAACAACCCTGGACTTGGAGAATACTCCTGTTCTACTCTTTAAATATATATATATATATATATATATATATAAGAGTTATCATTGACTTTCGTAATTCTTCTTAAGTACTTGTTTCAATTATTTTTAGAAGGAATTAGTTAACACGATCCAGCATTACTGATAAGATGGAGAACATGAATGAAGTATCCATCTCGCAGGCTCAAAGCCTTGCGTTTTTGGACCACCACTTTTCGCTTATGACAACAACTTGGGCAATTAAAAAATGATGCTTGATTTTAAGTCTGCGGTGCAAGTATGGTGAAGTGGTCTTCATCCACGGTGGTACCTAATAAGTTTATAATAGACGTTTCATAAATAGCTATATAGCGACATTTCATATAAAGATTGGATGTCATTATTAATCCGACTAATAAACGCCCCTCCATGAATGTCACTTGTATTAAACACACAAAATTTAAAAACAACTACACAAAAAAGAAAGCTGAAAGCCTTGGTAGGGCTTCAGTGCTAAGTGGGATGACCTGAAAATACACTGCTGCCCTGGTTGCTGGTGAACTTTATATCCTTCTTCACATGTAGGTGTTTCCATGTTTCTACGCAGAGCTCAGCTGAATGCTGATGTTGGAAATGGACATCGCATATTCTTTGTGCCTGCCTGCCTGTCAATTATGGAGGTGCCTGTAAGTCTACGTTTTTATTAACACGACGCATACCTCCTACCAAGTAATAAATAAAAAGATGTGACATGACTTTCTCTTATCTTTTTCTCTTTTTGTTGGAGAGGGAAAGCTTGTTGTTGCTATTAGGTGTCTGTCCTGGATTTGATGTCGATAATCTTAATTTAATCAACAAAATTAAAGTAAGGAGGGACAATGATGTCATGTTAAACCCATTCATGAAGTCAGTGGGAACTCCAGTCTACTAAAATAATAATTGTGTTTTTAAAGTCCACATGAAGGAGGCCCAGTTTACTAAAAATTGAATTGATTGAAGGATCTCTTGAGTGGACTAAATGTAGATGTGCAGAAAGAATGTGAACATCAGAAAAAGATATCAATGTACTTCCACATTTAACTCAGATGTGTTCTGAGAACGCACTCATAGCTTCAGACATGTAATGTGTTTCAGGGAGGTCCTTTAATATTTGAAGACTAGAATCCCAATGAGAAAAAACCAAGAGAAGAGAAGAGAAGAGAAGAGAAGAGAGCCAACCCCTTCCGGTAAAGTTTACGGAAAAGCCTCTGTGCTCGATCCAAATTTCCTCAGTTGGACAAGCCATTTTTAAGACCATTTGATTCAACGGAAAAGAGAGAGCTTTCGCAATCGTTCAATATGTTTTTGTAAAGTGACTGTATGTTAACCAATGGTCTCTGTGAAATTAGTAGGAGCCAAGTGAGTCATATTTTGCGTTTGCGACTTTGGTCCCACATCGGAGACATCCAGAAGTAGCGAAGCAGCTGGGCGTATAAAACTGAATGAGGTGTTAGGTTCCAACTCATACCTTTTTCGGCCTTTTGGCTAAGATCAAGTGTAGTATCTGTTCTTATCAGTTTAATATCTGATACGTGGGCCAATGGTCCACACGATATTAAATTAATTTCTTTAAGGGGAGAGCCCACTACAGTAGCTTGCTATTGGGGTTCTCGCGCGTCGCCTAAGCGTTGCACTACAGCATGGGCCTGGCGCACCCCACCAAATCCAGTTTATATTTTTATTTGGGCCTTCAATCTCTTAACAAAGAAAGTAGAAAAAGAAACCGTGTGTGAAAATGTGAAGTCAGCATAAGCTCTGACAAGCGCATGAGCATCGCAAACCATAGGCTGAATAATTTTTCTTGCCAAGACAGACAATTGATTCAAATACGGTTTGGGTTGGTCATACATTTGAGCTCTAGACTATATATATGAACAAGAGTTTTTCTATTTAAACCCCACACTTCTCTTTGTTGACCTCAATACTTAAATCATTAAGCTGTTAAGTTTTATTTTTTGTAAAAAGACAAAAAATGTCATCCAACGTAATACTTAACCATAGTACATCTATACACACACCCCATTGGGAACAAGTTCAAGTGCACGGCTCAATATCCCACCGTGCACCACCCCTCCTACTCCCCACGGCCTTGCCCATCAAATCCAGAGGATTGTAACCAGCTAATATATCGCCATGGTTCAACTGCTTAAACAATGAGAAATTGGGATTTTAGGGTTTTGGTTGGTGAATTGATTTAAGTTTTGGGAGATTGATAAAATGGGAAATTGGGAAACACCCCGAACTGCTAGGCATGGAGCTTCCATATCCCTTAACGGGGGTTTTGAGCTGCATCCCAATTGAAAAACTCAAGGGAAAGAACATAGTCCTGCTTAAATCTTTAGCAGTATATGTTTCACTCTGAAAGCAATTAGACCATTAGACAAGGAATTGAGCTTAGCCCAGTCAGAGTGAATTAGATGGCTGTTTGCAACATTAACAAAATCAAGTTCCTGCCCCTTGGGTTCATGAATTGTTCTTTGGGGTATAGGAGGTGGGTTCCAATTCCTTTTTCCAAATTTCCCAGAAATTGTGGGGTTTGTAAAGGTGGATTCTTTTGCAATTGAATTGGGCAAACTACAAAATTGACGAAATAGGAACTTAATAAGTTATTAAATCAATCCTAGGGTTAAGTGGGGTGTGTGTAAATTAATACTTAATTTGAGGGTGAATATTTGAATTAGAAGTTTGGGTGAACTTAGAACATTGGGTGAGCAAAGAGAAGTGTGGGGTTTAAATAGAAAAACTCTATGAACAATTATACAATTAAGACTTGAGGTTTGGCCTGAACTTTTGGTGCTTTGAAGCCAGTTTTTGAAAAACCTTAAGCAGAATCAAGGTGGTTGGTGTGAGTGGTTCGGCACTCTCATTCCTTAAGAGAGGTTAGGGGCTGCTCTTGTATGGAGTCACCACTTTGGCCAACACTTTACCCCTTATGGGCCGACCCGGTGTGAGCGGGGATTAGTCTGAGTTATTGTTAAGGCTTAAAGGTGCCACCTATAGTTGGGGCCCATCCAGGACCACCTCGTGGTTCAGACAAAAAAAAAAAAAAAAAAAACCTAAGCAGGGTTTAGCTTCAGTTTTCGGAGAACGGTGTTAAGGAGTTGGTCGGAGAACTCGAAGGACAACTTTTTAAGGGCATCGTACAGTTGGAACTAAACTTTTCTTCTTACTATTGTAACGAAAAATAATAATAACTTTAACAAGCCAATGCACTGTGTGGTGTTTCTAAGCAGACCATGAACTTGTGAAATGGATGGAAAAGAGAATAATGATCGTAGGGAAAAGAGAACGCTTCATATCTTGCGTGTTTTTTCGTCCCATATCGCCAGCATCATAAAACAGGGAAGCTTGCATGCCATATAAAAACGAAAACGTGTTGGTGAACAAAGCATACCTTTCTCGGCCTTTTGGCTAAGATCAAGTGTAGTATCTGTTCTTATCAGTTTAATATCTGATATGTGGGCCATCGGCCCACACGATATTAAATTAATTTCTTCAAGGGAAGGACCCATCACAGTAGCTTGCTATTGGGGTCTTCGCGCGTCGCCTCTGCGTTGCACTACAGCAATGGCCTGGCGCACCCTCCAACTCCAGTTCAAACTTCTGTCAATGTTAATATTCAATTTGACTATTGGTGAGAGAAATCAGTCATGTTCCCCGCAGGCCAATTTAGATGTTGCCGCAAGTGGCTGAGAGAGTGGCAAGTCACAAGTGATTACGTAAATGTTATTTATTTTAACAAAGAATTTCGAGGTTGCTTCGCCTCATCTAAACAAAGCTTGCATATAAATCAGCTTAGTCCATAGCTTTATAAAACCCATTGCAAAAGTAAGTCAATCTCGCAAGTGTCACCCAATTGCTATGCTGATGACTTGGCAAGTCACAAGTGTTTACGTAAATGTTAGTTATTTTAACAAAGAATTTCGAGGTTGCTTCGCCTCATCTAAACAAAGCTTGCATATAAATCTGCTTAGTCCATAGCTTTATAAAACCCATTGCAAAAGTAAGTCAATCTCGCAAGTGTCACCCAATTGCTATGCTGATGACCCGTGAGAAACTACACTGAAGTTTCATGTAACCCAACTTTCCAACTTACATTTACTAGGCAACTTCTTCAACTTGTTTTCCACTTGACAACTTGTTGTCAATATATATATTATATATGTCCTACTAGGCTATATATATGTCCTACTAGGCTCTAGCAGGCTATAGCTATAGCTGTAACGTTTTATTTATCAACCCTTTGTTTCTCCTATACAATTTGCAAAAAATGAAAATCATGCACAGGGAATCCAAGCTCTCCAAATGGTTCTCTAATAGCGAGAATTTCAAACTAACACTCCCTTTCCTTCGTTCAAAACCCAAAACCCAGAGCCCTTGTCCTACTCAAAATCAAAACAGTAGCATCGCAAAAGATGACGAGCTTGCAAAGGTTTTTGATCATTTTGACACCAACAGAGACGGAAAGATCTCGTGTGACGAGCTTCAGGCTTACTTCATGTCGATAGGGGAATCCATGTCCAATGCAGAGGCTCAGAGTGTGATCAACGAATTTGATAACGATGGTGACAACTTATTGGAGTTTGAAGACTTTGTGAAATTGATGGGGAGGGAGGGTGATGCCAATGATGATCTTAAAAGGGCTTTTGAGATGTTTGAAGTTGATAAAGGCTGTGGGTGCATAACACCAAAAGGGTTGCAGAACATGTTCAATCGGCTAGGTGAAGCCAGATCCTATGATGAGTGTGTGTCCATGATTGGAGTCTTTGATCTCGACGGAAATGGAGTCCTTGATTTTAATGAATTTCTCAAGATGATGATTTCAACTTAAAATGAATTTCTCAAGATATGGCCGTTTGTGTGTCCTGTCCGGTGAGTGTGTGGTGGGGAATTAGTACTTTCTTGAGTTGAAGTTGTTTGACTTTCATGTGTTTTGTCGTGTAAGTAAAGTCATGTTAAGCTTCTCGTGCAAAACTAGTTCTTCTCAACATAATGACATACTATTATATTACTGGCGAATACCATTTCCACGAGTAACGTTTTCTTTTCCAGACATGCTTATATTCTCAAACTGTAAATCTCGCGTGATTGCATTTTATGTACGATTCTCTGGCATCAAAAGTAGAGAATGAAAATTCTGTAGAGACATTGTGAGACAGGAAAAAGATTATAAATCAAATCATTAAATTGATTCATGGCATTACAGCCACAATCACAAAAATCAGCTAATACTATGTAGTCAATACCTATGCACTTTGGCCTTGGGTTCTAATATGAAAGGCAAAGTTGTAATTATGTGAAAGAGACGGGCCTCCAAAAAAAATTCAAGGATTCAGTCCTCAATAAGGAAACGTCCCGGTCATTTTAATATGGTCTAAGGTACTTCGAAGCCCATATTTCTGCACTGCCTGTTGACCAGCCCGGAATCCATCTCCATATACTGGGGACATGTCTGATTCGACCTGGTGTTTAAAGAACCCACCGAGCTTCATCTCAAACTGAGATCTTGTACCCTTCTTCGATGCCGAGGAAGCGGAGGAAGACGAGGTTGATGCCACATTGCTGCCTGAGCCAGATATAAGCTCGGCCTCTAGCCACATGTAAGCTAGAACCTGACAGATACCCTCTTCAACAGCTTGACTAAGAGGTCGGTAACCTTCAACAAGTATTAATAATCTAGTCATTAATTTGCACCTTGATGTCATGTTTCATCTGCAATTCCTTTGAGAAGGAGAAAAGAAAAGGAACTAAACAAACATATAAATGGATCCATCTAAATAGCACCTTTAAGCCGCAGCCATGCATGCATCATCTCATGTGCTAGAATAGACCCAGTCAGCAACCTGTAAGCAGAGGTTTCCAGTCATGCAACAGATTCAGCCATGAATTACAATTGTAGAACTAAGACAGCCACGAAGGTCTTAGTCAACATCCTTTTCTCATTTTATACATAAAAATAAAGTTCGCAAAATTTCATCATACATGAGGTGTAGATATCTGTCTGGGCCATGCCACACAAAACAAAAACTATAGATAGAAATCATACCTTGGAAGCCCATACAAGATTAGAATTGCAGTCACCTCACAGCGACGAGTTAGCTTGTATGGCTCTGTTACCATTTCCATGGCATGGTTTCCTCCCCCAAACCGTGGCCGCTTTGAAATCTGGTGGTTCTCAGATAAATATTTAGATAAGTTGCTAACGAACGAGAAAATACCTTATCAAAACTCAACCATTGTAGAAATCGAAAAGAATATATTCGCAAAACTCTTACCGTGCTAATAGTCTGTTCTTCAGAAAGGCAAAGGCCTCTGGTCTCAGGCATGTGATAATGGCCCTGAAAATGACAAAAAGTTTATCAAAGTCAGACGTAATTTGTAAAGCTTAAGAGTAAAAACTACGACAACAGCAGATGGGTAGTTTTGTAAGGGTCCAAATAACAATTTGTGATCCACTTCTACACGTACTCCTCTGTAATTTGTAAATCAAAGCAGATTCTTTAAAGAGACGTAAAAAGGTATCAGAGACAAGTGAAAAAAGGTCACTAATTAACATGTCTGACTTCCCAATTATAACCGTGGAAAACTGTCCTACTTATCATACTAAGTAGATATTGTTTTAACTAATTGCCCTTACATTTCTTTCTCCTTCTCTTGCTTCATTTAACGCTTGTCTTTCAACCAAGAGTAACGGAACTTGCTGCTCCAATTTCATATTTAAACCTTCATAAAATTCCTGTATATCAAGATACAGGGGTTGGCATTCACTGGTATCCATGATTGCAGAGTCCAGACACTCTAGACAGAGTTTCCGACCATCATTAAGGGGCACATATTTTGTGTCCTGTGGCTGCATTTAATGAACATAGACATCTTGTTACCTTTCGACCCCCAAAAAAAAAGAAGACATCTTGTTACCAACTCTTTTGCTTTGCTAGTCCTTTTTTCTTTTAAAACAATCTGGCCAGTCATATTTCATTGCAGAATTGCAGTAAAGTAATTTATTCTGACTGACCTCCATTCGCTCACAGCTGCAGCACCGAGGAGTAGTATCGTGTTCATGAGAAGGGCAGTATTTCTGGACCCAAAATGGATGTGCCCTATATTCAATAAGACCAGCAGTGTTGGTTGGAATCTGTCAAAAGATATATATTACAAAAACGAAGACCAACCTAACAATGAACCATACAATCGAAGAAAAAAGATATTAGATTATAATCAATGGAATATTGTCTTGATATTGCGATACTTACAAAGTGCTTGCAAACATCACATTTTGGATGGTAGCTCTCCTTATAGCAAGATTTATGGTAAGGGTAATGCCCAGATGTAGAAAACTGCATTAGATGAAATATATGTAAGCTAATATGGACGACCAAAAGTTAACTTGCAAAAGTACCATTGCAAAAGCTAATATGTTCAAATTCACATCCACAAACCAGACCAAATAATAGGAAGTAATTTTTGCACCTCATAATCAGAAATTGGTAGGTTGCATGCACGACAGCGGAAACATTCTGGATGCCAAACTGCATTCAGGCAATTCAAATATCGTCCAAAACCAATCTCAGCATTGCAACCAGCACAAATCCTACCACAAAGAATGAATATGGTAAATCAACAATGGTCAAATAAGGAAAATAATGTGAAGTTGCAGATTATTGATGCATCAACAGGCAGCTTGGTGTTCAGTGTGGTTGATGCAGAGAAAAACAACTAGAATTTCAAAACTTACATCCTTTAACACTGAATAAATTGATAAGATTTCAAATGTCATAAACTAACATCACATCAACTCAAGTTTCTGACCCAAAAAAAAAATTTCTTTTTTTGTCATTCTCAAACACAGTGATTTGAAAATGCCATCATCGTACACAATCAGGTCAAGCAAAAGAAATAAAAAACTACAAAGTAACGGAAGCATAAAAGAATGATTCAGGGTACAAAACAGAGAGGGTAAGGACTGAGAATACTAAGGAGCATCAAGAAAATATGTGAAATGAGATTGCTTCATACAATTACAAGTTATAGTTTCAAAGACCATTCTATACATCCATGGGGTAATCAAGCACTAAGCAACAACAAGGAATAATGAAATGAACTAGCACCAAAGTTGACAATATAGTTTTCCATCATATAATCATATACCTGGATCCCATTGGGTAGTACATGGGGATAGGTTGATATGTATTTCCATTTCCATATCTGGGAGGAGGGATAGGTTGATATGTATTTCCATTTCCATATTGGGGAGGAGTGATAGGTTGATATGTATTTCCATTTCCATATTGGGGAGGAGTGCTAGGTTGATATGTATTTCCATTTCCATGTTGGGGAGGAGACTCCACATTCAGACTTTCTTGTAGGGCTCTGGCAAGTTGTTCATCTTCTTCCAACTGAGAATCAAAACCTATCCACGAATATGAAATTCTTATTAATTCATATTGTATCATTTGACATTACAAGGACAGACATAATGCATCAATAGCTCTGCCACGACATGGAAGCCAAACCCACCGTCATGCAATGTATAATTCAAAATGCCACTGCACAAATTTTGGTATGTTTTCTAGACTCCGAATGGTAAGAATAATTTCATTTTATCGGCAACTGTATGCAATCAAAATACCATAACAATATAAAAACAGTGACTAAAGATGTAATGCCTAAAAGAGCACACAAGAAGGAATATACAACATGAAAACATTTACAATAGCATCCGTACGAAAAATCACTCACCAACCACAATTTTTCCTTTTTGATTTTCTTCTAAAAGAGATAGTGCAATAGCACGGTCTATATCGTCATTCTCGTTTTCTGACCAGACCTCCTACATTGAAGTTCCCACGACAAACTATTAAGGGAGTTCAAGCATACCAATGAAGATTAAAAAAGGCTGAGATTTCCCAACTAAGGCTATCAATACACTTTTATATGCATACATACAAGAGTGTTAGTTGTGTTACAAATACTAAGAAGTGGTAGAAGTTATTACCCCGGAACAAGAAGGTCCACAGTTATTTGGATCCTCTCCATAATTCTCATGACAATGCTCTTCCGATAACTTGTGGCTGGAGCCTTTAAAAATCTTGCTAAGCCAACCCATAACGTTTAATGTCATCTGCTCATAGTCAATTAAGTTTTTTACTGCACATGAAGCAACCATCTAAGTCAATGCATTATCAACAACGAAAACAACAGATGCAGTACAAGTTCAACATATTTCCGATTAGTCTGAGTAAATTCCATAACCTTCAAACGTAGTATGGGAAAAAAAAAACATAGAGAAGAAAATTCATGCTGAACATTTACATCTGGAAAAGAAAATTATGTGTGAGAATGAATACAAATGAAAACAGCACGCCTGGGTTAACACGCCTGTGTTTTACAGATGTTGCATGGACAACCCAATTCAAATAACAGGGTAATCAATGCCATTGCATTTATTTTCAATAAACATATCAAAACAAATTAAAACTGGCAAGGCAATTCACCCACCAGGCATTATGGCACCCCCTATAATGTTCCAGCTACAACTTCGAAATTCGAAATTTAAGGTTTGTCAAGTCAATTATGACTAAACATCCACACATAAAGAGAAGAGAGAGACACAGAGAGAGAGGAGAGGGAGAGATTCTTCCAGGTCAACATGCCCACTAATCTGATCACATATAAACGTTTAATCTCAGGTAAAAGGAAAAGGCAGAGAATCAAATAGTGGAGAAGTGACTCACCTCTAAAAAATCAAGGGACTCCAAGAATGGTGAAAGCTAGCAGAGCAGACCCAGATCAGATAAGATCCCAACTCGATCAAAAGCAACATTCTTTTACAGGTCATCAGAAAAATTTACATATATAAACTCCATTCACACCCTTTTCCCTTCTCTCTTTCTTTCTTGGGTAAATAAATAATCAATTCGAGAAGGAAAAGAAAAGCAATCCTTTACTCTTTAAATTCAGAGCAGAATATGGCAGAGGCAGGAAAGATCTCAAGGAAAATTGGAAGAAGAAAATTCAATATCACTTAGATACAGGATTATTCATGTGTTGAAAGGAAATTCCCAACAAAATATAAACAGGAGAAGAAATAAACAAAGAATGGAGGAGGACATGAACTGTACGCAATTTCAAAGTCAAAATATTGAAAACCCAAGTGTAAAAACTCCAACTTTATTTGACTTTTGTCTTAACCCAAAAGGGATTGACGAATGTTCATCAAACCCAGTTGGGCAAAGCTCATAATTTGCTTATTTTTATCCGAAGGCTCTTTTAACTCTTCCACCTGAAGGCCCCAAAAGAAAGGTTTTTGAGGAATCGTAAAGAAAAAAAAAACTGTCTTTTAAAAAATTAGAAAAACAAAAACAAAGAAAGGAAAAAAGAAACAGTAAAAATAAAAGTTGGGCAATGGCTTGTTTGCTTTTGGCTGGCTGGCGTCGTGTGGAGGAAGCGAGCGGACGTGGGTTTAAAGTTTAAACTAAACTACGTAATAAAACAGCTGAAAAGCTGGATTTTCTGAAGATATTTTTGAGAACGAAAATGTGTCAAAGCGGAAAAAGTGGTAGGAATCCGAAAAAAGGAGGTGAATTGTTTGCTTGGATAAAAGATTCCATACCTCACCTACCCATTAAGGCAGTACTAGCAGGAAAAATGAAAAATAAAATCAATTACTTTTTTTTTTTGGTAAATACCATGAGGTGTCTCAACACCCCGAAAGTGAGATTAATCCCCATTCAAGGTTCGGCTTGTCTTTGGCTACAAAGTGCTTCTAACGAGTTTCGAACCCCTGCCATTGAGGCACCAGGTAGCTCATCAACTGAAAAATCAATTACTTTTTTGCAACCGGAAAATATAAAAATTAGTCAACAGTGTAAGTGGTGTCACAAATTGATTATTTGCTACAAATATATATATTCTTATTTTTTATCTAACGTTTGTGTCAATCAAACGATGTAATGTATTAAAAGCTCAATGACAAAGGATATTAATTGCTCGTGATTTCTTTTGTACGTTTGAGCCATTAATTGAAGGCCAAGTCATGTATGTTATCCGCGTCTCGCCATTACTTAAATCTAATAGCTGAGTAATGCTATTTGGACACACAACATTGACCTAATCTACAATATTATTCAATGAATGCATCATCGACTATGTGTTATTTTAATTTGTTTATGAAATTAATATAATTAAGTGTGAGCACGCACACAAAATGTCAATTTCTCATGTGCCGTTAATTGTTTTTATTTTATATTTTGTTGATAAAAGGGTGTGACAATATCAATATGTTTCCTCCTCCTGGCATTAAATTTAAATTGGTAAGAAACTTAGAGAGAAAGGAAAATGGTTGTTACCACACCAAAAAAGAAAAGGGAGATGGTCAACCATGCGTTTATAAATTTAGCGCTTTACTATTTTTCTCCGACTTGGTTTCTTCCAGAAGAAAATTGGGAAGAATGGAATGGTCAAGTGATTTAATTTTTGAAATCTTGCTTTATTTAAGCAAATTGAAATGATGACGGGTCAATGTCAACAAGGATGGCCTTAATAAATTAGGTGAAACAAACGAGTGAAAATAAATATAGCTAAACAGAGAGAACTCTTCAAAGTCAAACAACTTCATATTCTAATCAAGATTTTATCATTAAAAGCAATGCACCAGAGGCCCATGTCAAAGTACATAGCACAAAATGTTTCTTCTTTTTGGCGGCCTGGTTTTGTTTGGGCATGAAAATTGCTTTCTTCCGACTAAAACAAAAAAGAAAAAGAGGCCCGAATAAGAATTTTCTTTTCTTTTGTATGTACACATGAATGAAATGAAGCAACAAAAAAAGATGAATGTTATGATGGTTTGCTGAGCTTTAAACATATATGAGCTTTGACAGGCTTGTGATCAGAACTGTGAATGTCGTCCATGGCTTCGTAGGAATGCAACGTTGCATGGATTTCCTCCGTGTCTTGGGTCTTGAACAAAATCCGATCCGTCCACGATGGCATTCTCACCTGTGCGCAGGTACGTCAACATTGAACTGATAATTCATTACAATTGCAAATGAGAAAAGTGAGAGATGAAATATTGATGTATACCTTGTAACTTGTATCATAATTGCTGCTTCCGATGTTATATTTATATGTGGGCTTAAACGTTAATGTGCCCTCGCTATAACCTTCGAAGATCTGTCCTCTCTCAGCCTCTTGTAAGAGCTGGTCATTGTTAGTGAGTAGCTGTATTTAATCAGAAATAAGTAAGCTATGTTTTGGTGGATGACATATATATCGATACCTCGAGGAATATATATATGAAACAAAAATCTTGATGAAGAAATGTTGAATTAACCTTAAAAAAAGAGGAAACGGACCCCTATGATGAAACGAGCTAAGCATGAAGTGAAGGAAATTAAATAATTTTGTTATGAACACAACTTACTCTGTGAAGATCATTGTGTATGAGATCTCTTGCGGGATAGTTGCCGATCCCTTGTATCCTGTAGTTGAGATCTCCCAACCAAACAGTAATTTGAGCAGGTGTTGCATAAGGGTTCAGTTTCTGAGAGAAAAGAGATTCAGATACGTTTCTGAATTCAGAATTCCTCTTCTCCACGTTCTGAGCATGAGCTACACGTATTGTACACACAAAAACACGCACACAAATTAGGAAAAAAAGACCACAAAATATCATGGGCTCAAGTGTAGTGGGTGACTTGGTAGGCCCAAATGTATGCCCCAAATTTTAGATACTGGGAAGGGAAGGGAAGGGATTATTAATTACCAGAGAGATGGCAAGAGATGAACACCATTGTAATGCCTTTGTAGTTAAGGCGGATTGCCACGGCGCCTTTCTTTCTCCTAATTAGTCCTCCAAAGCCCCCTACTGGACTCTTATCAATCTTCACTTCTGTATATCAGTAAGTATATCAGGAAAAAAAAGAAAAAGGAAACATTCAATCGAATCGAAACATATTCGTGATCGAAACCTTGACTTTCTAGCTAGTAGAGAATTCATGTATACCCTTTACCTTTGGTGAACAAATCTGAGTCCTTTAGCCCAAACACATAGAGGTGTATAGATTGCATGATGGATTTTCCCAACAAGCTTCATGCACAAGGAGAAATGAAAGGTCAAGCTTAATATAAAGTTATTAGTTAGGGTTAAGTACATACAAACATTTTAATTAAATTAATAAAACTTGAAACAAAAAGAAAGGACTTTATGTGTCTGTCTCACATGTGAGAGTCGAGCAGCGCTGCCCGTAAAAGTCGTGAAATATTTTTGCGGGGCACTTCCTGCAGACCTATAACCAGAAGATCAAACTTCCGATTGTTCCCAACCAGCTCTGCCAAATCTTCGTAGGTGACCTATTATCTCCAGACAAACAAGAGTAAGAAAAACTGTTTAATATTTAATAATCACCATGATTCATGAAGCTCAAATTATTATGTTTGTAATTAAGCAAGCATGAAGTTGAGGTACCTGGCCATTCATATTCCAGGTGACGACGCAAATACAGAGATCTGAATAGCTTGAGAAATCACAACGGTTGTCTACTCTTACTGTCGTTATTCCTTCATGCGACATCGTTGCACCGTGGCTGTCCAGGGAACCCAGCTGTATTGGTTTTCGCCTTAACTTGAATATTCTTCTACGGAGTTTTACGAAACCCATAATAATTATAAGTTGTTTTCCAAGAGTGAAGAAAGATATGAATCAATCTTTCTAAAAAACAGGATAAAATCCAAGAAAACAACCCTACTAACTTAACTTAAACTGATATAATTAAGTAAGAAAATGCTCAATACCCTTTGGCAGCGTGAATGGAACTGAAATTTCCCATGGTCTTGCTTCTTCACCAAAGCCTACAGGTGCGTTGTACCGTATTGCTTTCTTTCCTTTTCTGTAAAATTCAATCGCAAAATTCAAAACGGACAGAACCTTGAATGCTAGAGTGGGATGGGCACACATTGACTTGGACTTATATAATTAATAGCAAAATGCACCGTATATATATACAAGCTGCAAGCAGAGAAAATAACTTAGCCACAATTATTTTCCAATTGGCGGTGCATGCGTATGAGAAAGGAAAGTCAAACTTGTAAATTATTCGCATATTGCCTTTTATCACATTAGTTCTTATTTGTCCACAAGTTAGGTTAGGATGTGGAAAATGTAGACAAGTTAAAATAACACTTGAAAAGGACCTTTCATGAATGATCGATCCCCTCGTAAGTTATCGTGCGTCATAATAAAGATAACGTGAAGTCATGCATGGAAATTTCAATGGGATCAGCTTGATAGAATCTGTACGTAGTGGCTCTCGACGTAGAGCTCAAGCACACGAGATGAGACCGTCTGATTTCGGAAGTTCCTTGCCGGCCTGGGTTTTAGCTTGTGCAAAAATGAGCAAGGGCAAACGCAAAGGACAAGTGGAAGCTTGCAAGTTATTGCGGCCATATTTCCTTGTCAATTTGAACACAAATTCACACATCTGCATAATAATGAAAGTAAGTGAACCAAGTTTTGACAAATATGATACCAATCCCTCCGACCAATGTTTACCAGAAATAATATGTATCCAAGTTCATTTAGAATTTTGGTTCATCATAATATATTTAGTACTAAATATGCGTATGGAGGTCTCTTTGTTCAACATATATAGTAAGCATATTAAACCTAAAAACAAATAAATAAATAAAATGTTGCAATTATAAAGTTTTTTTGTTGTTGTTGTTGTTGTTATTGTTGTTGGAATAGATGTTTTATTAAAATAATAAGCACTTCAAAACCCAAATATGAGAGAAATGAACAAATGCGTGATTTTTTTTTAAAAAAAAGACTTGCGCCTGAACAACTCAATGGAAAAAAAGAAGAAAAAAAGAAGAGGAAGCATGAACATCCCTTCAATTTGCTGGACAGCACCAGAAACTTGCAACCTACAACAAACACAAATTCAGATAAACAAGAAAAAAATGAGATAAAATTAAAATAAACTAAAAGATAAAACAAAAAAACACAAAAACACAAAAAAAACAGAAAAAAGAGAACTAGCCAACAAAACCCAAACAAATCAATATATGCACCAAAAGACCAAAAAAATTGTTGTGAGCAATATCGATGCATCAAAATAAAAGAATTAAAAGCAAATATGAAACAGAGACAGAATTATGATCAACAAACAGAAATCATCACCCTGCATCAGAAAAATAAAATCAGAAAATGAAAACTAAAAGCATCATAAACCTATGCACGAACAGTACTTTGAAGTTAGAGGGCAAGTAAAATTAAACAAACTAGAACACCAAACAACAAAACTTATGCACGAAAAGAAAGTTAATTGCTGTTGTTTTTCAAACTCAAATTTGAAATATGAATGTACGTAGTTATTCAAAAATATATAAAAAAAAATGTTTTCTAATACACCAATTTTGACAAATGAATCATTTTAACAGTGAGTCTGTGAGAATTATAAAACTTTGGAAAAATATTTAATTTGTGGACAAAGCCAAAAGTTGGAAGTCGTGGATTTCTCTCGAGTAAAAGACTGGTTATATAATTTTAAAGATGTTGTAAGACAAAAATCCATTGTCGTCTAGTCCGGTTTAGGATACCTGGCTTTCACCCAGGCGACCCGGGTTCAAATCCCGGCAATGGAAATAAAGATTATCTATTTTTGCTTTTTTGTTTTTAACAAAGTTTCCTAGGCTTTTGATTTCAGCGGGTTCGTCTAGTCTATATATCAGCACTGTAAGCCGAGCTTTTTCCTTCAAATCTACTGATACTGAAGACCCATTTCGAATTTTCGATTTGCAAGATTTCTTTTATTCCACAAAGCCCCTCGTCTGATCCCGCACTCTCACTTCCTAAATAATTTGTATGTGATGTATGTTTTTCTTCTCCATTTTTTCGGGTTCAACTTCTTGCTTATCGAATTTGATTCTTAAAATGTCTGAAATTCTTAGTTTTAGTTTGGTGGATCCGCTGCCAGACAACATGATCGGCTAACTGGTACTTGTCTTGGGAATCGAAACTTGCCTGGCTTATTATCTCCATATTTTTGGGACAAATCGAAGGCGATATGGTAAGCCGCCGTTTGTTTTGATTTTGTATAATTTTAATAATTTCATTCGATTGGTTATATATTATGGGTGCTTTGCTTGTGATTCCTTAATCCTCTTTGTTTGTTAATCTACCCTGTGCCCTAGCTTAAAGCTGGTAAATTTATTTGTTGTTGGTTATGGAAAGTATAAATTTCTCCCCTGTTAATCTTCCTTTCTGGTTGGCATTTCAGTGGTCAGAAAAGGATGAAACATACTTCTTTTGTATATATGACCATATGAAATCTGGCTATTGGTTGTGAGAGTAAGAATATGAACTTTGTTTGCTTAATCTCTGTCTCAAGCACACAAGTTGCAGTCTAAATGATCTAGAAACTACTGTTCTTTGTATTAAACTAATGATTATGTTTTTCAATTCCTTGAATATCTTAGATGCAAAGACAACCATTGAAGTCCCCTTGCAAACCGCAGATGGAGTTGGATAGGATTAGCAACTTACCGTGTCATGTTGTAGAACAAATTCTGTCGTGTTTGCCGATTAGGGACGCAGTGAGGACAAGTGTTTTGTCAAGCAAGTGGAGGTACAAATGGGCTATGGTTGCGCATCTTGTGTTCGATAATCACTGTCTCTCGGCTCAAAACCGAACAACCTTTGTCAACATTGTGGATCATGTACTCTTACTTCACATTGGCCCCATACACAAGTTCAAGCTTTCAAATCGAGATTTTCTAGCCACTGGTGATATTGATCGATGGATTCTTCATCTATCAAGAAGCTCTATCAAAGAGTTCATACTTGAAATTTGGAAAGGGAATCGCTACAAGATGCCCTCATCTTTATTTTCTTGCCAAGATATGTCTCATTTGGAGTTATTTAATTGTTTGTTAAGACCTCCGCCAACATTCAAAGGCTTCAGCAGATTGAAGAGCCTTGATCTTCAGCATGTTACCTTGGCCCAAGACGTCTTTGATAATATGGTTGTTCGCTGTCCTCTGCTTGAGAAATTGACTGTGATGAACTTTGACGGTTTCACCCTTCTCAACATTGATGCACCAAATCTCCAATTCTTTGACGTTGGAGGTGTTTTTGAAGATGTTAATTTTAAGAATACCTTAAATCTTGCTGTAGTCTCCATTGGTTTGTACGAGCATGTTTGCAACTACCAAAGACGAGGGCCTCCTGGCAGTTCTAGCCATTTGCTCAAGTTTTTTGCTCACCTGCCTCGTATTCAAAGACTGGAAATTCAGAGTTACTTTTTAAAGGTAATTGAGGGTTGTGTAGTTTTACTTTCATTTAGTGAGCATTCACATGGCCATGAGAATCTGAGTATATTGATTGAGTTCGCTATTTTCTATGTCCTTTCCTCTCCAGTATTTGGCTATTGGTACCTTGCCAGGAAAGCTGCCTAAACCATGTCTAGTTCTGAATTATCTTTCTATTCGCATAAGCTTCACTGATTCAGATGAGATCTTAACTGCTGTATGCCTTTTGAGAAGCTCCCCTGCTCTACAAGAATTAGAAATTTTGGTGAGTTTTATTCTACTGGTGCATGCAGTATTTTTCTGTTGAGTTAAAAATTTCAAACCAACTGGTCCAACTCTACCATATAATACCATAGACCTTGTCCTTCTGCAGGTCCGGCCAGAGGATACAACTTGTGCAGGAACGGTTAACTTTCAGTTAGATGACAACTGGAATGGTCCAATTGCCCGACTGCGCCGTGTGAAAATAAACGGCATCTCTGGTACCAAACCCGAACTAGAATTCATCAGACTTCTACTTTTAGGTTCACCCGCGCTTGAGAAGATGACTGTTAAGCCCGCTTCTGTCACCTGTGGTTGGGAGATTGTAAAGAAGTTGCTTCAGTATAGGCGCGCCTCAGTACATGCAGAGATAATCTACTTAGACCCATGACATGACTCATTAATGAGTTTTGGCAGCTATGAGGACTTTCCTGCTGAAAGGAATGTTGGTTTTGTATGAAGTATTAATGATGTATGTTTATTTTTCTGAACAATGTCTCATGTTGGTAATGCCCTTGCATTTGTGGAATCTGATATCAGTAAGCTCTGAGATCTGGATTAACTTTGCATGAATATTGCATAATGCATGCGATTAGGAGATATGATATTTTGTAGGGGAATGCTAGCAACCTTTTCTTTAACCTTCTCTTTTGGACCTTCTCCATTCCCAATGCCCCATGGCTGAAGCGGTTTGGTGTCACTGCTCCTGTTGGGACTTTCTTCAGAGGGTGGTGGCTGTGGACCTCACAGCTTGGTTCTAAGGTGTTGCCCTCACCCGTTCAGCCCTTGAGTTAGAGCAAGTCATGATGCGTATGTGGGCTCTGTGGAACGAACGTAACCAAGTGGTGTGGAATGAACGTCGGCGGAGTGTGGCAGAATTTTTTAGCGGAGCCATCCGGCTTCTGCATGAATCTCATGAGCTTCAGCACCATTCTCGGATTCCTCCGTCTTGAGTCAAGGCAAAATGGCAGCGTCCTTCCTTGGGGATTATCAAAATCAATTTGGGAGGGGCTTTTCGAGACGCGACGGGGATTGGAGGGATTGGACTTGTGGCTCGTGACCATCAAGGCACTTTCCTTGCATGTAAATTGGTGGCTGTTCAGGGGGTCTCCAACCTTCTACATGCAAAATTACTAGCTTTAAAGGAGGGGCTTTTGTTTACCCAAAGATGTTGTTTACCCAAAGATGGCCTAATGTGCAGTGGCTCATTGAAGGAGATGGTCAAGGAGTTGTTAACGTTCTAAGCCAAGTATCACAGGACTTGTCCCACTTGGGTTGTTTAGTTGACAACTGCAAACTATTACTAGCGCAGCATGACAGTATATTGTTACAACATGTGATGAAGGAGGCTAATGAAGCTGCTGCCAGGCTCGCTAGGATGGCATTACACTCCTCTGGGGAGGCTGAGTGGCTCTGGAACACCCCAACAGTTTTGTATGATGCGTTAGTTGCAGACTCTTTTTAATCCCTTTGTTTCCAGATATCGTATTTTGTACGGCTGGCAGGTGTGGTACTCTTTCCTACCCCGGGGTTTTATCCCACGTGGTTTTCCTTGGGAAGGTTTTAACGAGGCCACCTTTACATGCCCTTTTGTATACACTTTTCACAGTTGAATGGAATGAAACCCATCACTTCCCCTCAAAAAAAAAAAAAAACCAATATCATTAATGCATCACACAAGTTAGTTTCTGTTTTTCAAGTTTACCCTTATTAAATGTATTAGCTTTTATATTTCCTTCAACTTATCCAAATTTTATTACAATTTCCTTAGCATATTGTTAAAAATTAAATATGAAAAAATAAAGTTTATTTGATGACATTGTTATCATGAAAGTGATATCATCATTATTTTGTGTTTAACAAAACATACGTCCTCTTTGGAAAAAAAAATTAAAAAAAACTACAGTCTTTATTTTCTTATTTAATTTTTTAACGAGGTAGTAAGAAAGTTGTAAAAATACTAGCTTGTTAGAGCAAGTCCACCCCAAAAGGCTAAGGCAAGGCAAGGGCTGCCACTATTCACGTGAATAGTGGCGGCCTTGCCTTTTTTGGTTCCACCCCAAAAGGCTAGGGCAAGGGCAAGAAAAAAAAAAGATTATGCAACAAAATATAAACAATTTAGAAATGTAAGAAATAAAATGATTATACAAGAAAAAAATAAATATGGAAGAAAATATAAAAAATTTACAAATGCAAGAAGAAAAAAATTATTATAATTTACAAATATTGAAAGGAGAAGAGTTTGTATGAGGATTTGGTGTGGAAAGTGAATAAAATTGTTATGTATTTATAGGAAAACATCCATAATTGTTTGGTATTTTTATTTATTAAAAAAAATGAATTTTTTTTGGATTTTTTTGAATTTTTTCTGCTCGTTGACGTCAGCGTGACATCAGCGCTGACGTCAGCGCCTTCGAGCTTGAGCCTAGGCAGGATTTGCCCGTGGGCTTGCCCAAGTTGGTGGGTCCCATGCCTTGCCTGGGCTGTCTTTTGTGCGCTAGAGGTCCAAACCTTGCTTGGGGGGGGGGCCTGTTGCCATGGCAACTGCCTAGCGCTGGACTTGCTCTTATTAAAAAGAGTTAATAAATTCAATAAGGATAAATTTGGAAAACAAAAACTAGTTTGTGTGATGCATTAATGACATTATTTTAAGTGTAAAGAAAATGACACTTGTCATGAGAAGAAGGAAAAAGATCCAAAAGAGAAGGCTAGAGAGAAGGTTGCTAGCATTCCTTTATTTTGTAACTATGAAGCAGCTAATTTACATCTACCAATCAACCAGCTAATCTGTCCCCAAAAAAAAAAACCAGCTTCCTTCTACGCCGTCGGTTGTATTCGTGTACCATGTACTATTACATGTTTTTTCATATCACATCAAAAGATTTGTTGATTCAATATATAGAGAGAGAGTTTCTGTACATGGTGTTCGCTGAAGATATTTGAAAGTCAAAGGCTCAATCTACCCTTCTACACTTACAGTCAAACTTGAGCCGAGCATTTAGTTACCCACCTAAATTTTTTAGGGATATTCATTACATGAAAAGTATAAATAATATATTTACTTTTTGGGTATTTACCGTTTAGCGAGTCCGGTCTTGCTTGCACTGAAGAAATCTGAACGTGGCACAGGCACAGAAAGCATGTAAAACTCATGGGAATAAGGCCTGAAAATAATTCATGAAACGCAAAAAGCATCTGAACAGTAGGATTTATTTGTTCATTTTATTGAATGGTTATAAACTTATAATAAAATCGACATGTGCGGGGGATGGAGGAAATCTGAACTCTATCTCTAATCCATTGGGTGGGGCCCACGTTACATTCAGAGCTATGAGTCTGATTGGATTTCGAGACCCACAACCACTGAGTTGGTGAGACGTGTTGTAAAATCGGACGGCTCTAGGGCCTGCGTGGAGTGTGTCGTAGCTCGTCTGGACGTCGTATATAAGTCAAAACGACCAGTCAAACTATTATCACGCATACCTTACCAACGCGCAAAATGGTAAGACAAGCGGACACGGCTCACTCACTGTATCTGTGGGCAGCCAGTCCACCCACGACAACCAAGAACCCCCTACAATCTCACGTTCTATTCTAAATTCTAATTGGGTTGGGTTGATATAACACACACACACAAAACAAACCAATAAACCATCTTTGGCCTTCTTCGGACTCTGCTCTGCAGCACACAACACAGAGTCATGGACAATGATACCCCGCTCCTCGTTTCGAACCACAGCGACCATGAACAAGAAGAGAAAGTCGGCATTGTTAAGGAGTTCGGGATCGAGTCTAAGAAGCTATGGAAGATTGCGGGCCCGGCTATCTTCACCGCCATATGCCAGTACTCCTTGGGTGCTCTCACTCAGGTCTTTTCCGGGTTCGTCGGGGATGTCGAGCTAGCCGCCGTCTCCGTCGAGAACTCCGTCGTCGCCGGCCTCGCTTTCGGTGTCATGGTAATTAATTTTCATATAGGAAATTGTTTTAGCATTAATAATATCTGTAAATATAGGGAGCTAATTGATTGGTTAATTAATAACTTGGCAGCTGGGAATGGGGAGTGCACTGGAGACGCTGTGTGGGCAAGCATACGGTGCGGGGCAGATCAGGATGTTGGGGATATACATGCAGAGATCGTGGATCATTTTGCTGGTAACAGCTTGTGTTTTGGTGCCGGTCTATGTTTGGTCGCCTCCCATTCTTGAGCTGGTTGGAGAGACCGATGAGATCTCAGAGGCCGCCGGTTTGTTTTTTTTTTTCTTTTCCCCTTTTCTTTCCTGTTTAATATAAATATTTATATATAAGATTATATGCGAAATTAGTAAAATTCTTATAGATATTTATAAATAAACCCAATCCTAGACATGTATTTATAAAAAAACTCAAATACTATTTAAATATAGAAACACACCCAAAATCAACCCCACAATCAATAATTGTATATTTTTTTGGTGTGTTTATAAATGGGTTTTGAGTGTGTGTAATGATGGATTTTGGGTGTGTTTATAAAGTGTTTTGGGTGTTGGGTTTTTTTATAATTTCAACCCCCTATTTTGAGTGTTTTAGTGAAACTCCCAAATTCTTATCACGTGCAAGAAAAATATGTTTGGTTTTTGTCCGTATCCATTAATTATTAATTATTAATTAATAGAAGCTGGCCAACACATGGCAACTCCTTATGGAAACAATCCCACTGAAAAACAAAGTAATCTTTTTTTATTTAAAGACTTGGATTTGTGGTGTTAATTAATCATATCATTCACAAGTTTGGCCCAATCTCTCTTTCCTTCTTTCTTTAATCAAAAGATTATTTTCGTCCAAAAAAAAAATCAAAAGATTATTACTTTCTTTATTTCTAGAATTGTTCATTAATTTGCTGAAAATGGGCTTGTCTCAAGGCTATCAACACCTATAAGTCTTCCCAGCCCCAAAGCCAACTTGTTTGCCCAAAAATGAAAGTCACTTTTTCTTTGCCTTTTTAAATTTTCTCCTTTTCGGAAGACTGCCCTTTAGGTTTTTTCTTCTCTGTTTTCGTAACTTCCCATTAGTGAGTTGGTATTTCTGTAAAGTTTGACAAGTATTGGGGTCTTTATGGTACAGGAAAGTTTGCTGTGTGGATGCTTCCACAATTGTTTGCCTACGCACTCAATTTTCCCATACAAAAGTTTTTGCAAGCACAGAGGAAGGTCCTTGTCATGGCCTGGATATCAGCTATAGTGCTAGTAATACATGCGGTATTCAGCTGGTTGTTAATATTGAAGCTTGGGTGGGGCTTAACTGGAGCAGCAATCACACTCAACACATCATGGTGGCTAATTGTTATTGGCCAATTGTTGTACATCTTCATCACCACGTCAGATGGTGCTTGGAGTGGATTCTCTTGGCTTGCATTTGCAGACTTATTTGGCTTTGTTAAGCTCTCTTTAGCTTCCGCTGTCATGTTATGGTATTTTTCTTCTCCTTTAAGTCCTATGGTCTATGTGAAGTACAATATTTTGTTACCATATGCTGATTAAAGGTTGCTTGCTGTGCAAAATGCAGCTTGGAATTCTGGTACTTGATGGTGCTAGTGGTTATAACAGGCCGTTTGAAGAACCCTTTGATCCCAGTTGATGCCATCTCTATTTGGTAATGTGCTTTAGTTATCCAGAAAAATAGTGATTTCATGGGTTTTTCACAGAACCATGAACTTTTAGTGTTTTGACCTTACCCTCACAACAATATATGCAGCATGAACATAAATGGATGGGATGCAATGATTGCAATTGGGTTTAATGCTGCAATAAGGTATAATTATGCTCCCTTCATCTTCTTTTTGTCCTTTTTTATTTCTTCCATCCCAATTTGTTCTGTTTTTAAACTTTTTATAAAAATAACATTCCATGTTTCATGAAAAACTAATTTACCTTGTGATGTGTGCTGCAACAGTGTGAGAGTATCAAATGAACTTGGAGCTGGAAATGCCAAGATAGCGAAATTTGCTGTGGTAGTGGTTTCCACCACTTCGATTGCTATAGGAGTGGTTTGCTTGGCTGTAGTTTTGGCAACAAGAGATTATTTCCCCTACCTATTCACCAACAGTGAAGCCGTTGCTGAGGAAACTACTCACCTTGCACTCTTGCTTGGAGTCACAGTCCTTCTCAACAGCCTTCAACCAGTCTTATCTGGTAAATACTAAACACAAAAACACAATATATGTGTAAGTAAATTTTCTTGTTCTTAACTGTTTATTGTCTTTAAATTGTTTCTGCAGGTGTTGCTGTTGGAGCTGGATGGCAAGCTCTTGTTGCATACATCAACATTGGGTGTTACTATATCGTCGGATTGCCAGCTGGAATACTTCTTGGATTCAAATTTGGTTTTGGAGTGGAGGTGATACAAAGTTCCTTCCTCTGTTTCTTTTTCACTTGGAAACGATATCTTATATGGGCCAATTAATTGTGTTTAGTTTCCCTCCAAATTCAATTTTTTGAACTTGTGTGTTCTGTAGGGTATTTGGTCAGGGATGATTGGTGGCATTGCCTTGCAAACCATAATCTTGATCGTGATCGTTTCCTTAACTAACTGGAACAAAGAAGTCAGTATTTCTTACTTAACTCTCTCTTTCCCTCTCCATCCATATCCACTCTTAGCCTCAAATCACGTTCTTTTGCTTAAAACAGATAAATATTTATTTATGTTTTTTGAAATGTGCAGGCTGATGAAGCAGAGAGCCGTGTCCAGAAGTGGGGAGGAGGAGTAGCTGCACCGGATTAAATCAAAGACTAAACATAAAAATTGAAAGAGTGCCACAGCAGTCACACAGGCTCTTCTTGTATCTGTTGCTTTTGCAGGCAACCATTGCCAACGCAGTGCAATGCATCATTGTGCTAAATCAAGATTTTGATGCTGAAACTTAAATTGATTGGTAAGTACTTGAGTGAGCAACGGTGACACGCATCGATTTTTTTGTTGTGAAAAAATTTCCATGCTAAAATGGTGCAGCATCAGCAGTGTAGTCAATTTTCAAATTTTCACGTGACATAAATATAACTGTACCGCTTTGGACCTGTAGTACAATTCAGGCATTTCTTGTCTTTGTTAATTTTTAGGGGAGTTTTGTTTTTGTACTTTTATTTGTTTAGCAATAAAAACTATCGCTTGTCCTAAAGAAAAAAAAAACTTGAACTATTGTTTCAAATATTTGAAACCCCCAACCCAATCCTTGACCCAAAGAAAGAAAAAAGGAAACACGAATCGAGTCATCCTATAGTGAGGGCTTTATATATTTAACCCCTATATGAGGTTCTATCTCTTAACAATTGGATTAGGCTAACTAATTTGATCTAACAGTTAAGAAATAGAGTCTTACCTAAGAGCCATATATAAGGCCCTCGCTATAGAATTCTTGAACACACATCCCAATTGAAGTGCAACCTATGGGCCTGTGGAGGAATATACAATGAGATTGGCCCAACAAATGTAAAACTTGGGTTATTAAGCAATTTGGCAAGCGATTGAGGAACCGGGCCGTCTTTAGAAATAGGCTACCATGTATAGCAAAGCCACATTTAAAAATAGAGTGGTGATTTCCCCACTCCAATTTTATCCACTTACACTCCATTTTATAACTAAAAAAGGAGTGTAAGTGGATAAAATTGAAGTGAGGAAATCATTATCCTAAAAATATAATATATATATATATATATATTACAAGCCTCTAAATTACAACAAATAAGCTAGTGACAAGATAACACTCATGGTTGATTGGACATAGTTAAGATTTTGTGAGACATAACACGACAATGAGATTGGCACATTGATAAAACTTTTTACGGGTTATGATTTTCCTTATCTCATTATTTATTTATGGGTTATGATTTTTCCATTTCCTTTTGTCTACTTACACATCTTTTTGTTTTCTATTACTTTTTATTATTATTATAATTAAAAAAAAAAAAGTAGTGTAAGTGGACAAAAGAGGTGCGGAAACATACACTTTCCAACGAAGGGAGTGTAAGTGAACAAAAGAGGAGTGAGAAAATAAATTCTTTTTTTTTTGTGTGTGAACATAGTAGATTCATTGATATGAAGGCATATACAAGATTACACAGGAAGAACACTGCCCCCAGAGGAGGGTTCTTGCATACAAGAAAGTAGAAATAAAACAATAAAAACAACCAGTGCAAGAACAATGAGCAAATTCCATATGTAATTAACCCCAGCTCACTTAGAGTTGAAGATGACAGGATCCATGAGAATTCAGGAACTAGTGTTGAATAGAGATTGTGTGGAAAACCAACTCTAAAGCATCATTGGGACTGGAAACACCAAAAAGTGAAAGAACAATTACCACTCAAATTCCACATTGACTTTCAAAGGAAGTCACAGTATCTTCAGCAACCCCTCACGATCCCACAACACCAAATGAGTAGATCCCACCAGATCCATCAACTCCACCTCCATGGAAAAGATCTTAGAAAAGCTACCACCAAACCCTTAAAATTCAATACCACAGACAACAAAAGGGCAAATGTGGAGATCTACCAAGATCAAGCAAGATCAACCCAACAGGCTGAGAAGCATCCCCTAAAATCCTAGGGGGGAAGACAAAAGCTTGCCAAACGACAAGGGAGCAAAATCCCAGCAAAAAACAGGGGGGAAAACTCTTCACAACATGACAGGGGGGAGAGAAGCCCGGTTTATTAGTCGAAAGGAAATGAATTTAGGGGAAACCCTTTAGATTCAAAAAAGTTTGCAATAGCTTTAGCAAGGTTTTTGGTTGAAGGAGAAAAAAAGGAAGTTTCAGGAAGAAGTTATTGGTTCCTTATTTATTTGTCCTACTTCACACTTTTCTTTAAAGTCAAAAGAGTCTTTGCTATAAGGTGTTCACAATCTTGTCTTGTCATACTTCTTATGAGCTCAACTTGCAAATCATCATTTTGGGTAAACAAAACAAGCTTTAGATGTAAGAAATATAGCTAGAACAATGGCGTATGGAAAATAGGGTTTAGGCCATCTCCAGCCATAGGGCTAAATGTAGTCCAGGGCTAAAAATTTAGCCCCCCAAAATATTAATTTTTTAAAGAATAGTGCAGGTCTAAAATTTTCCATCTCTAGCCATGCATGGCTATATTTTAGGGTCCTTCATATTTTATTATTTTGAGAAAAACTATGGTACAACACTCATACATTCCACAACTATATATTGTTTAATTTAATTAAACTATTGTTTAATAAATTATTTATAATTTTTTTTTAAACAACACTTGAAAAGATTTGAAAAGCTAACCATATTTATTATTTATAAAAAAGAAAAGAAAAAAGGGAGTGGGTAGGTCCAATGGCCATTTTAAAAATCTGACTACAAATTTGAAAAGCTGACTATTTTTATTATTTTAAAAATCTATATATATCCAGCAGATGTAGCGTCCTAAGGTTAGATGGCATTTGAAAAGCAGATTATGAGTCCCACTACAAATTTGGCCCATTCCTAAAGCTGGGCTACATATGGCCTGGTTGGAGGGCTAAAGAGCCAAATTTGGCCCAAAATTTTGTTTAGCCCATGACTAGATATGGTTTTGGTATTATTTTAGGGCTATATTTAGGAAATAAGCCAAAATTTTGTTTAGCCCATGACTGGAGATGGTTTTGGTATTATTTTAGGGCTATATTTAGGAAATAGTCCATGACTGGAGATGACCTTAGAAAATCTAGACATTCGAATAAGATCAGAATTATATATTAAAGGGGTACATTGACATTTTGTGGTAATAGGATGCAACATGTTAATTTTGAAGTAAGGGCATCTCCATTGCAAAGATGTAAAGGGAGATGTAAAAGACATTTACACTCATAGTTGTCGAAAGTTGCTCCAATAATAGTGGGGTGTCAATGAATACAAATATAGCATTTGGCCGGAAATTTTTTTTTTTTTATAAAAAAAACATAAATAGTTTGTATCCGATTTATTTTAAGCAAAGACTTTTCTCCACCGCGGGAAGAGGAGAGGTAAGGAGAGGTTTTAATTGACGTGATCGCATACATTCCCTTTTCGGAGTCATTTAAATTTGGCCCTCCTCTTCTCACTCTCTCTTTTTTCTTATCCTTCACGGAGGAAGAGAAGAGAGGAAAGGGAAAAAGGCTCTATCTTTCTGGGGGTTTTACTTCCCCTAGAAGATTCTCTTTTTTTCCCGGAAAATTATTCTCTTTCTTCAGTGCTTGAGCGGAGGACCGCTTCATCTTTGTTTATCTGCAAAATATATACATCTTTTTTATTCCTTTGTCGGTTTTTTTGGTAGATAAACAATGGAGGACGACTATTATGTGAGCAGTGACGATGACTATTACGACGAGGACGATGATCGCAACAATATGGAGCTGTTGGAATACGTTGAGAATTACGAGAATCTCAGGCCTGAGGCTCCGACGAGTAAGGTAGCGATAATTTTTAGCTTCGTTGTAAATTGATCGACGAAATTTGACTGTGTCATTGTATTCTATCACAATTTTCTACAGTTTTTCGTTTCTTCAGGTTGATTTATTCGTATTAAATTTTCAAGATTTTTCGAAGTAAAATTTATTTCTTTTTTTTTTCGCCAACCAAAAAGGAAGCCCGGTTCCTGTTTGGTTGATGAGAATGTGGTTGTCGTGAAGTTTCGAAAAAGAAAAATGTGTCTTTTTAGATGATTAACAGCTCGAGTTTATATTCAATTTGCAGCTATGGTTTTATCTTTGTAAGTGAAATTCAAGGGAACTGTGGAATTGATTCAAGTTTACGTCAACAGAGTCTTACATAACTTAATCCCGTTCTCCTCTTAAATTTGCAGAGTCAACAGAGAATTGATTCAATCTTTTTTAAATATACTTTGAAAGTTCTCCTCGTAAATTCAGTTCTATTCCGTATGCTGTCTGATTTCGTATTAAAAGTTGTGGCTTCTAGTTCTAGTCTCAATTTTTGCTTTCAGTATTTTATGCTTATCTCCCTCTCCTTCTTCATTTATGACCCTTACTGGTGTTTGACAGGTTATTTCAAAAGAATCTCTCTTGGCTGCACAGGCATGGAATTTTTGTTTTTGTTTTTGATTGTATGAGTGTTGCTGTCGTTATGTATGTGTTATGGTCGACTAGGTTAATGTTAAATGTTGGCATTAAAATGTGCAGAGGGATGACTTGCAAAGGGTAATGGATGTGTTATCATTGAAAGAATACCGCGCCCGAACCTTACTCATCCATTATCGTTGGGATGTTGACAAAGTGCTTGCAGTGCTTGTAGAGAGGGGGAAAGACAGATTATATGCCGAAGCAGGTGTGACTGTGGTAGAGGATGACAATCTTGTCTCATCACAGTTTTCATCTGAGGTTATGTGTGGTATTTGTATGGACGAGATTCCTTCTGATCAGGTGACAATAATGGATTGCGGTCACTACTTCTGCAACAATTGTAAGTACTCTGCTCTGCATTATCTCTTTTCAGAATCATGGCATCCGTTGAATAATTTTTTTTCTTCTTTTTCTTTTGTTCCGTAAAACCACATGAAGTTTAGCTTAGCAAATCCTAACTTGATTACAGTCCTTGGGGAAACAAATTTTCTATTTTTATATTCAAGAGGATTTCAGTTGTAAGTTTTTAATGTGTCGTCAATTTGTACTTGTTCTTCTAGGAGATTATAGCATGTTTACTTGTAAAAATCTGTGGACTGAATCAGATTTTTAACATGGGAATATAAACCAGTAACTGCATGGAATACTACTATCCATGTTGGTGGGTTGCCATCCTTTATTTATGTATTTATGAAATGTGTGCATCTTACTGATTGTATTTTCTTTTTAATGAAATAGTTTTGTCTAACATTGTGCTTAGGTTGGACAGAGCATTTTATTGTGAAAATAAATGACGGTCAGAGTAGGCGCATTAAATGCATGGCACACAAGTGCAATGCTATTTGCGATGAAGCAATAATCAGAAATCTAGTCAGTGCAAGGGATCCTAATCTGGCAGAGAAATTTGAGCGTTTCCTTCTGGAATCATATATTGAGGACAATAGAAAGGTGAAGTGGTGCCCAAGTGTTCCCCATTGTGGAAATGCTATCCGTATTGAGGAAGATGAATTATTATGTGAGGTTGAATGTGCATGTGGGCTGCAATTCTGTTTTAAATGCTTATCTAAAGCGCACTCCCCTTGTTCATGTCGAATGTGGGAACTATGGTGTCAGAAGTGCCAAGATGAATCAGAGACTGTTAATTATATTGCAGTCAATACTAAACCTTGCCCAAAATGTAACAAGCTGGTTGAAAAAAATGGAGGATGCAATCTAGTTATCTGTGTCTGTGGACAACCATTTTGGTGAGTGTCTGTATTTTCTGCTTTTTTTACTCTTGTACCCTTTTTTTTTTTTATGGAATCCTGGGGGTGGGTTGGGGAGCATCTTACACATTTAAAGGGTCTAACTTTCATGTGGTTGCTTTTCAAAAACTATATCTGAGGTAAGATCCTTTAAATAGGATTTGTATTTTTGCTGCCTTTTGTGAAGTGTATGTTGATATCTGACTTTTGTTAGGCTGGCAGTTTATAGTCTAAGCTTTTCGTGAAGATTTTTTGTTCGTTATGCAATTTAGGATTGATTAGCTGTTTGCTCTTTGCACAAGCTTGCTCTGCACAAAGTATGGGTTCTCACTTTCTATCTGATAAAGCTTTCTGTTTTCTGTTGCCTTTCACATGTTAACAATTCATGGTGTGTTAAATCTCTACCCAACAAGTTCTTTTAATGTTTTGTACATAAAATTGTTGGTTCTAACTTACTTAATAAGGTACATGTCATTTTCTAAGATGTCATGAAGAGCAATATTGTAAGACAGAATGTGACCTAATATGCTCCATGATTAAGAATGGAGCTCCTATATTTATGTTACTGTTCATAACAGCCATTTGTTTAGGTTCTTGTGGGAAATAAAATATAGATAGTGGTTTTGGTAGGGTAGAGATTTGATGATATTGCTTTGATGTTTGAATGAAACAGTTGATGCTATTTATGGTGCTTAATCGGGTGGTGCATACTGGTGTTTTCCTAGGACTCATTTTTGTATCATCCTTTCTAGATCAGTTCTGTTTTCCTTTTCTATTTTTTGAGTCATTTTTCAAGTTTGGTATCCCATTCTATATGTTTAGTATTTTTCTCTTGGGCTCAGTTATATGCCCTCAGGATTAATGTTTCTTGCAGACTAAACAATCTTTTCCCAATTTATATTATAAACTTATGTACTAAATTATGTTCTATTCCCTTTGGGTTTTTCTTTACAGTTGATGATCCATTTCTGTGTCTTTCCTTGCCTTTGTGTTAGTAGTAGTAACATCATTTGATGTTGGTTTCTGTACATGTTTTGACAGTTGGCTCTGTGGTGCTCCAACTGGTTCGGATCATACATGGGATTCCATTGCAGGACACAGTTGCGGACGATTCAAAGAAGACGAGGATATGAAACTTGAGCTGGCCAAGAGGGACCTATTCCGTTACACTCACTACTTCAACCGTTATCAAGCTCATACAGATTCATTTAAGCTTGAATCTACACTGAAGAAAAGCATACAAGAAAAGATATCACGTTTGGAAGAAAAGGAATTGATGTTTAAAGATTTAAGCTGGGCAACCAAAGCGCTCTACAGACTCTTCAGGTCAAGGCAGATTATTTCATATTCCTACCCATTTGCATATCACATGTTTGGTGATTTATTCGAGAATGAAATGACGGCAGAAGAAAGGACAATAAAACAAAATTTATTTGAGGACCAGCAGCAGCAGCTTGAGGCAAATATGGAGAAGCTTTCTTTGTTTACAGAGGAGCCTTTTCATGAATATGGACATGAACAAATTATGGAATTGAGAATGAGGATCTTGAATCTTTCTACGCTTACTGATAAGCTCTGCGAAAAATTGTAAGTTTGCCTTTAAGACTTGAATTCTCCTATTGAGTAGTCATCAAAAGTCTTGATGGAAATGGATAGTGCAGTCCTCCATCTAATGCCTTACCCTGTACTCTAAGATCCGATCTCAATGTATTTTCTTATAAAGTAACACGTGTATTGCAGGTATGATTGCATTGAGAATGATTTGCTGGGTTCCCTCCAGTGGACAAGACACAGTATTGCTCCTTACAATTCCAATGGCGTGGAGAAAGCTTCAGAACTTACGGTTTCTAGGGACACCACCACCTCTAACTCTGAAATTGATTTGGCCACCAATGGCATGGATATTTCTTACACTAAGTAGGAGCTTTCCAGTCTTGTGTAATATATATCCTTGTTCATGTTCTTGTTTACTTTTTATCATAGTTGACTAGAAGAGAACTTGGAGATAAATAACAACAGGTCTCTCAGAAGCTGCTGAAGCATGCATAGAGGAGTAACAGAACAGAATGCTGAAATGTGATCTATAAGAGGTGGTTTCGCCGTGGTGCTCATAACGTATATGTATCCTTGCATTAGGGTGGTCTGTTCTTGTTACCAACTTAATTTTGCCAACAGAATCACATTTAACCCCATACCTTAGGAACTAAGCTATCTTTTGATCAGATTTTTTGATTTTTTGAACTTAATAACCTCGCATCGTTTCTCAGTTGTTTTCCATGAAAGTTGCTGTACATAGCCTATCAAGAGGTCCATATGCTGATGCTACAGATTGTATTCATTTTTCAGAAATGAAATAATGACTTTATACATCATACAAACAGGGATGTCTTCTCTCTTTTCCCTCTTCTCTTTCTGAATTTGATCTATGAATGATGAAGTAGACGCAGTGAAAAAACTGGCCGACTTTAGACCCCTGCTGTAATCTTCCCGTGCTTCGCCTACTTTTTACGCATACATGTATGCACATTAATTTTTATTTTTATTTTTACGCATGCATGATGATTCTTATTCAATATTTTTTTATTTTTTTTTTCAAATCCAACTTTATTTAATGATCTGTGTAGCTTTCCTAGTGGATCGAGGATTTCACCAGTGCATCTCCCATCCGAGAAAGAATTCCAGGACTTTACATTTTTGTCCTGATTAATTTGTATTTTTTCAGTTTTTCTAAATGTAAAGAGACAAATTATAAAAAAGAAAAAGAAAAAGAAGGGCTTCCGGATGTCATGATTGGCCCAATCTTTGATTTATAAGTAAATATTTAGTTTACACAGGCCAATGTTTCTTCCTTTTTATGTCTTCATTTTTGTTTTTCAGTAGTCAAAGTAAAAGAAGAAAGGCGCAATTCATTTTTATGTGTAGTAAAATGCTCCACCACCAAATTTTGATGTGGAACAATTCATTTTCCATTTACTTATAATTGTCAGTGCCGCTCTATATCTCATGGGAAAACTGAATTTACCTTCTTTATTTTCAGGGTTACATGGGAGGCCTAAGCTGAAAACAGAAATTACATTTTTTTTCTTTTATTCCCTTTAGTAAGTGACTTGTGCATCTTTCATAAACAGATTGATGAAATGCTTGATTAGATTAACTCAACATAATTATGAAATAAAATCAAGAAGAATAAATTGAACTTGAGCTAAACTACAAGATCAAAAAAGTGCAACATGTCCAAATGTTAACTACTTAATTTTTGGATCAATGTTACACCAATGTTCAAATCTCAATTTAAAATAATGAAGTCGATTATTTTTGTAATTATTAAGAGATAATGAAGTAGTTGTGATTGCAAATGTGGGTTGGCTCACAACAATGAGTTTGCCCCCTTGTTCGAATTTTTCTTTGTAAATTATATTAGTTTAGAGTAGTTTACACTATCATTTATACTAGCTCCTTGGAGCATGTGCCAATTGGTTTTCTTTTTTCTTTTTTCTTTTATTTTTAGAATTAAGAAAAGATAACATGGGTAGTTAGGTTCCATAAAAGTAGGACCTATTATCTGATTTTATTTTTAATTTAATTTTTTTTAATATAAAAAAAATGAATTTACCATATTATCCTTATTTTATTAATAATTTCAATTATTAATGTTTGAATTAATTAAGGGTATTTTATGGTATTTTGAATGTTTCACTATTCTCTGCTTTTTGCTATACTAGACTCTCCGCACGCACTTCTGCGCTTGCGAATTTTAAAAATTTTAAATTTTATTTTAGAATTAAAAAAGATAATGAGTAGTTGTTTTCCATAAAAATCGGATCCATTATCTGATTTTTCTTTTAATTTAAAATTTTTTAAATATGAAAAAGTGTGAATTTACCATATTGTCCTCATTTAATTAATAATTTCAATTCTTAATGTTTGCATTAATCAATGGCATTTTCTGGTATTTTGAATGTTTAACCTTTCTTTGCCTTTTGCTTTATATATAGACTAGCCTCTCCGCACGCGTTTCCGCGCCTGCGAGAGGCTTTTTTTTTTAAATTTAAATTTTATTTTAGAATTAAAAAAGATAATGAGTAGTTGTTTTCCATAAAAATAGGATCCATTATCTGATTTTCCTTTTAATTTTAATTTTTTTTTAAATATGAAAAAGTGTGAATTTACCATATTATCCTCATGTAATTAATAATTTCAATTCTTATTGTTTGCATTAACAAGGGGCATTTTCTAGTATTTTGAATGTTTAACCTTTCTTTGCCTTTTGCTCTATATATAGACTAGCCCCTTAGCACATGCTCACGCATGTGCCAATTGGTTTTTTTTTTAATTTTAATTTTAATTTTTATTTTTAGAATTAAGAAAAGATAATATGGGTAGTTATGTTCCATAAAAATAGCACCTATTATATGATTTTGTTTTTATTTTTATTTTTTTAATATAAAAAATATGAATTTACTATATTATCCTCATTTAATTAATAATTTCAATTCTTAATGTTTGAATTAACCAAGGGCATTTTTTGGTATTTTGAATGTTTCACATTTCTTTGCCTTTTGCTTTATATATATAGATTAATTAATAATTTCAATTCTTAATATTTACATTAACCAAGGACATTTGCTAGTATTTTGAATGTTTAACCATTCTCTGCCTTTTGCTATCTATTTGTACCATATTTGTGTACCAACTGATGTGGCTGTTGAGTTGGCTATGCCACATCATTAAGTGAGTTTTTAATATTTTTAATATTTTTTTATTTTTTTGACCTTTCACTTTATAGACTCATTTAAATCATATTTAAATCATTAAAATTTTTAAAAAAAATCTACGCTCTCTTCTCCTATCTCCTACCGAGCCAACCCTCTCTCCCTACTCAACCTTACCTTTCAGCCACCCCTCCCCCGTCGCCCATCCTTCCCTCAGCCATACACTAGTCATTGAGTTTGTTAGATTCTCATTATAGGTCCCAAATGTTGAAATGGGCATCTTTGATTGGATATTGTTAATTTATTTTTGCCATTATTTCACACATACCTAGAAATTTCAAGTGCAGTCAAGTTTTGAGTTTTATTGATATTTTGAGTATGTAACCCAGATCCTGAAATGGGTTTTTGATATCTGATCTTGGACATTTTGCAAATTTGGAAACAAACAAACCGAAGTTGGGTTTTGTCTTTTTTTGTTTTTGGTGGGAAATAGATGGCTCATCCGACAGACCATGGGTTTTGTACTAATGGTGCTGTGAGGTTGGTTTTTGTTTAGTGGTGGTGTGTTTGGTTGGGTACACTATATGTCCATCTTTGCACTGGAGCTTGAAGGAGAAAGGCTCCTGCCCTCAGTGTCCTTGTGATTTTTCAAAAGATTTCGACACTATACCTGTAGGTGAGATTCACTTTTTAATGTTTGTTTGGGAAATTTGGTGTATGGTTGAGGGTAGGTACATGTACAAGAGTATGGCTGAGGGAAGGATGGGCAACGGGAGAGGGGTGGCTAAAAGGTGAGGTTGAGTAAGGAGGGAGAGAGGGTTGGCTGGGTAGGAGGTAGGAGAATAGAGTGGAGATTTTTTTTTAAAATTTTAATGATTTTAATATGATTTAAATGAGTCTGTAAAGTGAAAGGTGAAAAAAATAAAAAAATATTAAAAATATTAAAAACTCACTTAATGATGTGGCATTAAAACTTTAGATAGTCCTCTTTGGGCTCGTTTGGTACGGCGGACTGTTATGGACATGACTAAATCCTGGGACTATCTTGAATTAGCTCGGATTGGCTTAAGCTGGATTAAGTACTGACCTACGTTTGGTGCTGCGTCGGACTAAGAAGCTGGATTGTAAAAATAGTGAAGAACTATGTTTGGTGCTCTGTCGGACTAAAAAATAAATATTTAATATTTAAATTTAATTAAAAAATTTAACCTATAAATAAATAAATAAATAAATAAAATTATAATATTTATTTTTTTGGTCAATTCATCATTTCATTAACTTGTCTGTATGTAAAGTGGGAGAGTGAAACGTTTGTATCTTCTTTTCTCTTTTCTTTATTGTTTATTCTTTCTCTCTTCTCTCTCTCTCTTCTTTCTGATCTCATTTTCTTCTTTTCTTTTCTTCCTCTTTCTTTCCTTCTTTCTTCTCTCTGTTTCTGGTTTCATTATTTTTCAGCTTTTCTCTATTTGGAACTTCTACGAATTGGAACTGTTTTTCTCTTCTCTTTTTTGGGTTTCATTATTCTCTGTTTCTGGTTTCTTTATTTTCTGGTTCTTCTCTTTTACCAATTCCCTAAACCCTTTTTGATTCGTGTATTTCTCTTGTGTACAGACAGAGATGACGAAGAGAGATGGTTCTGGGTTCTGCGGGTGGCTGGGGTGGCGAAGAGAGATGGGTCTGTGTGTGGCTTGCGGGTGGTGGTCATGAGGGAGAACAAATTCAGGGGAGAAGGGGGGAGCACTGGGTATTGGGTTTTGCCAAAGTCTTTCGATTAGGTCTCTGGTGGTGGGGTTTTGATTCAAGGCGTAAGGAAATCCAGTCCGACTCGAGTGTTCGAAATAGCGATGGTGCTATTTTGCGAAGTGCATTTGGGGCTCGCTGTGTAAGACATGCGAGTCCGGTTATTTTTTCACTGTTGGACTATGGAATCTCATTTAAGTTAATCCCCTTCCTTACCAAACATGAGTTTTAAGTGTTATTTAGCCCAATCCAGTCCAGTGAGGCATAGTGAGGCACTGTTTGTTTTATCTAATCCTAGTCTTAGATAGGATTACTAATACCCGGCCCACCAAAAACACCTCCTTAGGAGGGGACTACTAATCTCATGTGGAAAGGAAGGATTAGTTAGTCCCAATGCTCACCAATGTATAAAATGCATATATTAGATTGTAAAATTAATAACATATATTATTATTATTAAACTTATACTATAATGTACATATATACATGTATATACACATAAATATATCATATATGTATATATGTATATATATACATACACATATATACATATATAATATATAAAATATACATATACATATATACATGTATATTATGATTATAATATACCCATATACATATACATATTAATATTATAATAATAGCATACGTGTATATATGTAATATATATTATATATTATATATTATAATACATATATGTGTATATATATTATACCCATGTATGTATTATAGTATACATATACACACATATATACACATATGCATTATATATGTATTA